GAAAAAAAAAAAAAACTTACTAAATATTTATATCATTTTCACCAATTGCTTCAAGTTCTTCGGTTGTAACCAAAAGGTTCCCTGGTATACGTGGATTACGTTTATGAAAATCTAATTTTGTAATTAATAATCTTATATATAACTGAATAAGACGGCCATAACCCTCCCGAAGATGTTGCCATAACTTTCCAATATCTTCCAATTTACCATAATATCTTTGGGAATCACTAATCACTTTTGGATGGCCCTCTCGTAATACTTTGTGTAAAACATGGCAAAATTTCCATGCAACGATTTGATGTTCGAATAAAGGTTGTCGCAATATAAACGTCCAAAATATAGAACCACTTTTATCTTGATATGTGCTGATAATAGCATCTATTATTTTATAAGGATCATTATATTACAATATTAAATATTAATACATTCGTACTAATGTATTAGATAAAAGGATACTGCGTACATGCTTTTCTTTAACAGGAGTTTCAGTTGGATTCACTGCTTTTCCGATGCTAATGATCTGCAATGAAATATTATTTACTACTACACAAAAATTTATACCCTAATTCATCTTTTATTATAAATATATTATAATATAAATGTCTACAAATAAACAAACATTAATGCATATTACAAAAAGAAACATATATATATATATTGTACTAAGCTTTATATAAGTGTTACATTTTTTTATATAACTCAATATTTTCTACTAACCACATATTTTCACTTACCAGTTGATGCAGTTGTTTATCAGTTAGTGGTAGTACAGGTGGCATATTAATAGTGCAAAACGATTATAACAAGAAATTATAGCAAATATAATAGCATAATAATCAACACATATAACAGACCATCATTTATTGACTTGTCGCTCACCCAAAATACAATATGTGGGTGCATTAAGTGTTGCAACAATTGTACACATTATCTGCAGAACTGTATATGTACAAAAAGAAAAAATGTTTTCAATATAGAACATGAATAAATATAAAAAAAAAAAAAAAAAAAATTAATATATTCAAAGTAGTACAAGCATCATTATACCAGCGATACTATAGGGTATAATAATATATTGATAAAAAAAAAATATTAATAATTTAAATTATTAAACGCACCTCTTTTCTATCCTACGACATAATAAACAATATTTATTTACATATAGTAATCTAATTTTTATATGAAATATTCGTAGTATTAAAATATATTAAAGATAAATAAGAATGTTATGGTCCCATAGAACTTAATTATTTTGTTATATGATTTTTATTAAGTATTTGGAATATACTGATAACAATTACTTATCAAAACATAAAATGTAGAACGTATTAAGTAAAAATATAGATAAACGCAGATAAATTTCCAATGCGTTATCGATATAAGGAATTCAAATACGAAAAAAATATTATAGTTAGGTAAATAGTAACACTTTTATTAGAATTACAAACGAATTCAATATTGAAATAATGACGTATGAAAAGATAAACATAAAAAACAAATGATAAAATTACTAAATTGAATAACAATGAAAACATACCTGGAATTTGTCGATGTTTTTACGTTCTAAATCCAAATTATTTTTTCTTTGTTGTAATACTCGTAAGGACAATGAAGCCATGCTAAAATTCTAATCGAAAAGGCGCAATTGATATTTCATCGATATATTATATATTACATATTATATATTATATATATATATAATACAACACAATATATTATATATATACATATATATATATGTATATATATATATATACATATATGTATATACACAGAACGGATATTCAAATTTTATATGAAGTGTGATTACAATCTATAAATATTAGTATATAATATCTTTGTCAGTTCAAATCAAAAACGATAAAAAGACAAACCTATTTATTCGCGTTAACATTCGTAAACACCATATAAATATAATCTTTAAAAAATCTAACTAACTTCATTATACATTATCTATATATCGATATTTTTTATCAACGAATGAAATAAAAAATAAAAATGACAATTGCAGGCAGTAAATAAACGACGATGTCAACGTGACCCACCCTGATGCATGTCGATGATATTGGTGCAGAAACGAAATTAAGCTTCAATGATGCACCAATGAAAATGATTGCACGTCGTACCTTGCCTTAACTTATGTATCTATTCATATGCGTCACGTCGTATATGGGCAAACCAATCAGAGTTTAGTTGGGTTTTAAACGAATTTTTTTCATTGGTGCATTCTAAAGCCATCACTAATACCACGTGAGTGTTATACTACGATAAACGAGATAAATATTAATTTAGAATAAACTTGCAACGATATATTGATTTTTAATATTTAATAATATTAAATACGATAGAATTCTAAATTATTCTATAATAGTGAATTAATAGAAATAAAATTAATGATATTATATGAATTTGATTTACGTATTTTGTGATAACTACTAAAGTGGCGCTGTTATTTATTATCTGACATTTTAATTCGTTCATTTAAAATTGAAAAGTCATGCAATTTTATAAATACTTGACCAGATAATAAATTTACACATTAAAAATATGAAAAGTGTTATTTAATAATAATCGTGAAAAAATTATTTTTATTTTTATATATGTCTAACAACATATGTATATGTTTAACAACATATCCTCTAAGATTTTTACAATCGTTATTTAAAATATAGATATAAATACGATTATATCAAAATTATACAATTTTTTTAAAAAAGTATATCTTTATTATCATCATCATTATTATTATTACTATTATTATTACTATTATTATTATTATAAAAAACTCAATAATGCTAAAGACTGTAACAGCAAGTTGCACATAACGTAAGACTGATGTATCAGTCGCTATCAAAATTGAGATACTTGCAACGGAAACGTCATATCCGTGTATCGAAATACAACAAAAAAATATTTATCAGTAGATTTTAGATTTTGCATAAAATAAGAATTTATTTGATCGTGTTTCATTCAAAGGAAATAACTATATCAAGAATTTCAGATGATAACGTTAAGATAATATAATTTAATGCTGTGAAGTAACTAAGATTTCGAAGTTTCGAACAAATTCGATGTCGACTTACTTTATTTTCAACCAACTACGAATTGCCCACCCTCAATTCCGACCTAAATCGCGAACGAGTGTTTTGGAGCCATTGCAGAACTTCTTAAGTAGTAAGTGAATTTTTAAGTCCCTCCGATCACTCAATCATATTGAGGACGAAAAATCCGAATCGGCACGAGCGACTGATTGTAATTAATTAATAGAATAGAATTGAATGACCAAGAATAAATTTTTTCGAAGATTTACTCATCAATGGTCTCTTGTTTTTTGATTTATTTATTAAATTAGGATAGATTTAGCTTTAGATCTTCTTGTTCAAACGCTTTAATTACAATTATTTGAAATTTTTTGAAATTATAATTATTTGAAATTAAATTAAAGTTTATTTTTCGACGAAATATAAACTAACATTTTACTAACATTCGAATAATGTACGAGATATATGAATTATAATTAGTTACTATTTAAATACTGTAACATTCTTAACAAAATTATAAATATCATATACATGAGATAGGAAGAACATTTGCGTTCGCGGCGTGGCACAAGCGTGGGTGTTCGCGGGTGTGATTAAAAATTCTACCAGGAACTTTTCTTTTTTATTTGCTCGAAAATTCGATTAGATTACCTCGCGAATACGGATTTTAGAGTAGAGTCATCATTTTTCTAATACTCGTGTGGGTGTTCGAGCGTAATTAAAAGTTCTATCATGGACTTCGTTGTATTGTTAGAAATTTGGGGTACATGAACGGTGTTACCTTGTAATGAAGTATATGTAGCTGCCAGTGTTACGATAGTCCTATTATTCATAAGCGGGGACTAATACTCCTCCAGGTAGCATTAGGAATTAAAAATCTTAGTTCATTCATGTTAATTCGTATTTCAATGTAGAATCAATCTAATACTTACGTGAATGTTCGCGGATGCGATTGAAAGTCCTGTCGGGGACATCATTTTATTTGTTCGAAAATTCTATTAGATTATCTTGCGAACGTAGATTTTACGGTAGAGTCATTGTTAGCTCGTGGGTCTTCAAAAAGCAATAACCTCCCACGTGGTGAGACCTGGATCAGTAATACTTGCGATATATTTAAACCTTATGATATGCAAGTGCTATTGAACGAATGACTGCATATTTCTGAACTTTTCTAAAATCTTTTCATTCTAATTCTGACTAAATATACAAATATTTACACTTTATATTGCTTCCTACATCTTCCGTATATTTAGCAATAAATAAGTAGTCATCTTCGTTTATTGAAACGCTATATAGCTGTATAATAATTTAAACAATTATTTTAAATTAATTATTCTAATTTCTCTCGTATGGGACCCTTGGTTGTAAGTTCTTGAGAGAGATCTTCTCTATCTTTCGGTGGGAAAAAATCAAGCTCGATTTTGGTACTCTGGTTTTACTCGGGTTGTGTCTAAGTTCTTAATCATACTGATAATTTTTGAGATATTGATAAGAATGTACTTATCTACTATCCAGACGATTACTAAAACGTGAATTCTGTCTTTTGACGATGTAATATAATTTTTGAATATAGAACGACACATCATAATAATTAAAAAGTAATAAGACATGATTGCAAATTTGCAATTAGTCGAAAGTTATCAAGTTAGTAGAAAATTTATTTATCATTACTCACCCCTTTTTAAGAGAGGTCTCCACTCCTTGTGCTTTCCATCTTTTCAATTCCATAGTCATCATTTTTATGTAAGACAAAAATAGATCTTATAAAAGTTATTAATTAATGTTTAACAAACACGAAAAAATATGAAATAATTTTTTTTTGTTTTGTTTCGATATGAAGAATTTTATAAAATATTATATTTTGAAATAATTAATCTTTTTATAAATAAACAAATGCATAATAATAATAATAGATAATACGCGAAATATTACAATTTATTATAAGTTCATGACCTCGGATATCTTCTGCCGGTATTTTTGTCCGATAATAAAATTGATAAGAAAATAAAAGATAGTTACATACATTAATCGTTATGGCTTTCATATTAACATGTTTCATCAATCGTTGCTCTCTCTCTCTTTCTCTCTCTTTCTCTCAAACATTATTCCCATCTTCTAATTCTTGTTATTTCTTATATCATATTAAATATTTTCTTTGGTTTGTTCTTTTTTTTTGTTTGTTTATTTAAATATTACTCACACCTCTCATGAATTTTTTATGATGTTTAAATTCTTTTATTACAATTAACTATTAATATTTAACAATAGTACATAGATGACTTTTAATTGTAGTAATGGTTCTAAATTCGCTTAGTGTTGCAATTTTACACAGATCTTATCGTACCGATGATAATACCGTAAAGTAAGACATAGCCGTTTGAACTAGCTTTGATATAAGTAAATTAATAAAAAAAAAGGAATAAAACAAACAAACAAACAAAAAAATAAAAATTAGATTTATAGAGAATCAGTATATAAATATTATATTTTATATTATTTGAGAAAAATTATTCTTACCGAAACATAATTTTCTAATGTCATAGAATATAATCCACCAGCCATTAATTGGCATGGTGTCATACTACGTAATAGTATTAAACTAAGCGTTCTTTTGCATCTCGAGGAAAGTACGTACCAACGTGAGTTGTAACTAAATATATATAGTAATATATAATATATGTATATATATAATTTTTTTTTTTTTTATGTACAAAATAATTTATATTTATACAAATTCTCCATATACAATAATCTTACCTATTTTCAAATACTTTAGCACTGTGATCTATTATCCTTTGACTTGGAAATGTCAAGAAAAAAAGATGAAATGCTTCACCTATTGTTAAAAAACCAAATCTGAATACGTCTGACAAATTATGTATATTGATTATAGTCTGAAAAAAGATTTGCAAAAAATAAAAATTTTCGATAAAATATATATGTATATATAACGTGCGACAAAAATTTATTTAATACTTACTTGAACTCCTGTAATGCTTATGCCTACTACATTAATTATTAATAGTATTATTAAAGATTCTGTATAACATGTTTGGAGTAATTCAACGAATCTTAAAAAGAATTATAAAATTCTTTTCAATTCCCAATGATTGTCATAAGATAATGTCATAAAATATTTATATATAATAGAATAAAAAATCGGTTAAATTATATTCATTTCTTAGTATATTAAAAAAAAAAAAAAAAAAAAAAAAAAAAAAAAAAAAAAAAAAAAAAAAAAAAAAAAAAAGAAAGAAAAAATAGTACACTAACTCAATGGCATGTTTATGTCTTTTGACACATAATGAAAGTTCTTGATAATGTTTTTCATCCTGTGCTTTGTCATAATTATCATCTTTTGATTTATTAAGAAAATTGTTGTCATATTTTTCTTCTGTATTCTCGCATTTACCTATATTATTTAATCGATAACTAGAACAAAAATTATCATAAATATTTATGTTTTTAAAAAATATATAATATATATATCTTCTATAAAACTTACCATACAATTGCAAATATACCACAAGCATGTTCTGAATACATCATATACATCGTATCAGTTGCAATTAATACTGCAACTACTAATACAGTAATTGCATAATCATAAAACAAAATTTCATTAAAATATTCTTCTTCGCTAACAAAATATTCCGTACAAAAAAGAAGTTCCATTTTTCGTGATTCATTTAACGGTGATAAAATGTTAAGAAAGATTGGCGATAAAGGTAATGACAGATATAATAATGTTGTGAAAGTTATGTAGACTGTGATTATAAAAAAAAAGAAAATAAATATTAATAATAATTAATAATAATATATCTTTATCAATTGTAATATTTATGTGTGTTGATTTTAACATACACGTATACCATATCGTAAATTTCCGGCCAGTTTCAGCATATTTTGAAAGAATTGCCATTTCTTTAACATCTATTAAATTTCGCCAATCTTCTTCAATACGTTTTAAAAGTACTTGAAACTGTAAAATAATAAATAACGTGATAATATATATATATATATATATATAACATTTTTTCAAAATAAATTATGAACTACATATTTTATACATATATACATACATACATGCATACACATACACGTATATGCATATGCATATACACATGCGCGCGCGCACACACACATACACACACGCACAGAGTACATATATATAATTTAAATATAAAATATATAACATTACATGATTTATATGAAAACCGACAGTGAAAGCCTTTATCATGGAACCCTTTATCACCACTATGGGAGGAATGCATTCAATAAAAGCATCGATATCAGTTATCCCTATTTCAGCTACTTTTATCATCTGGAAAAAAAAACATGAATAACTTGAATTAATTTTGGTATAGAATATAAAATATTTTTTTTGATTTTTATTTATTTTTTTTTTTATTTTTTTATTTTTTTTTGTTTATTTCTTTTTCTTTACCTCGGGCACGTACATAGTAAAGAAGATAAATATTACTAAATAGAACAACAATTTACTTTTGATAGAATTTTCTAACGGCCACATACCAAAATAAGACATGAAACGTTTATTTATCACGTAATATCGTTGCTCAAAGAAGTCCATCATGGAATGAATGATTTTTTAAAAGTTCGTTCTAAAACTATGGATATTAATATCGATTTCGTAGTTTCAACTTGGTATAACTTGTTACTGTTATTTAGAGTGTCAAGGAAATAATAATTTGGCAATCTTCCTTCTTTACGTATAATAGATTTTCAATCGATATTGCTTTAGCTATACGTAATTTTCTTCTATGAAATTGATACTGCAAAATTTCTGCCAGTCAGTATTAAAATTATAGTCTGTAAATAATACTAAATTGTCTTATCCTTGTGAGAAATAGCTCTTGGGCAATTTGTCAAATTAGATATTATAGTCGAATCGATAGTCATTCTTTAAATCGCAGTTATATTTTGAACATTTATCTATTGCATCAAAAAAAAAAAAAAAAAAAAAGAAAAAAAAAAAGAAAAAAAAACAGCTTAGACATCAATCACATTCGTTGTATTACATTATATAGAACGATATTATTACATATCATTTTTATATTTCGACGTGGACGTTTATGGGAGTATTTCTTGTTGAAAATAATTTATAGTTATGAATAGAGTACATTTTCTTCAGTATTTTCATATAACTTTTCTTACACATATCTCGGTTATCGTTGGTTCACTCGCATATACAATACTTCTAGCGAATCTGTGGGTTTAATAGAATACTTATATTTTTCGCAACAGCCACATTTTGTATTGGTAATACTTCTTTGATTTATCTCATTTCATTGCATTTGTGCACTGTCTTGCATGTTGCCTTCCATTTTATTATTATTATTATTATTTCAGCAATAATAAATTCATATTTTTATAAATAAATAGTGAATATTAAGCTGAAGACGTTGCACAAGAAAATATTTATTGAAACATAAACACACACACACACACACACACATACACGCGCGCACGCATATATATATATATATATTTATTAATATTAATATTATATTAAACTCACTCATGATTTTTTTTTTGCCATACCATTCTTCCTTAGGAAGTAGGATTTTGGATTGATATAGGATAATAGGTTTCTGTGTCCTAAAAATGAGTAAAAACGATAAACAGTTTTTATTAAATTCGATCACGTTTCAAAAATAGCTCGATAATATATTGAGAAAAAAAGATCAATATTAATAAATATAAAAAACGTCAGAACAGTCATACTGTTTCGATAACAGTAATTTGTTATATGGTTTTTATCCTATGAAAAGAATATACAATTGTTTGGAATTATTGTATTAAGTATTACTTGAGCTCTTCAAAAAAATAATTATTTGTGCATTATCTTACTTTGTACCTACTGTAAATCATTTATTAATTTTACATTCTCATTGATCTAAGTTTTGCTATTAATTGTTCACTATTAGGTTTACTAAATAAAATCGTTAGACACTTGGAAATAACATCTTGGCACTTAACTATTAGTTTTTCTCTGAAACAAAAAAAGAAAAAAAATAAATAAGAAAAATGCATTTTTTATATTAATTTTAAGAATAAAAATTTTCTTTTTATATTAAGTAAAAAATCGTTCACCTGTTAAAAGCATTAATATTATTTTGATTTTTGATAAAATAATTTATTAAATTTGCAGTGGAATCTATTAAATGGAACTCATTTCCTTTGTTTAACCAAGTACGTGTATTTTTTCCAATCATCCTACAAATAAAATGGAAAATAATTAGATAATATAAGTATTATTTTATTAAAGTTTTTTTATTAAAGTATTATTTTAATGGTTTTATACTTACTTATCATAGTAATCTAAAAGATCTTCCATTGATACACCTAACTTTAAAAATACTGTAATAATACAATTATTGGAAGTTTTTAATCTACAAGCTCTTGTTTCCAATTGTTCTATTAAGAATTCTGAAAGGAAATTAATTCATTAGCACGAATTAACGAAATGAATTAATTTTAAAATTAATAAATTTCGATTTTTTTTTTTTTTTTTTACCTATCGGAAAACAATGTGGTGATCCTGAATATTCTTGACCAAGGAGTTTAATTTTAGTCATTAAAATTGCCATTTTATCATCTGGAGACGATGCTGCAGCATTTTTTAATTCTAAAATTTAACATGTGATTACAAATTTAAACATATTAAAATAGAAATTGGTATAGTGTATCTTAAAAAAAAAAAAAAATACCATTGTTGATTATATTTGTCCAAATTCCTTGAATTAACATCGCATCTTGATGCCCGGAACAGTGAATTATAGCAAGTTTACATTCTAAAAGTTGCAAAGGTTCTGCATATTCCTCATAAAGCTGCCAAAAAAAATAAATGAATCATCAATCTGCATATTCATATTTTGTTTATACAAATATTATTTGATTTACAAACCTGTGTAATATCAAGTAATGAGGAATTCAATTTTAACTTAGCATCACGGACAATCATAGGATCAAAAATATGTTGCTGGCTACATATCGTATCTAATATCTATTATATATAATTAAAAACGATATAAATGTCATCGATGCATATAAATTGATATAAATATAAAATTTATTATATTTGATAGATTATATAACTTACTTGTTGTTGTATCCTAGCTACCTCTAATTTATCTTCTAATTCACGTAGGAAAATTCCAAGATAAGGAGCATAACCAGCTTGATCACTTCGCATGCATACAACTGCACGTGCTAAATATTCTACTCTTTCTGATAATGATGTTTCTGGACTATAAATAATATATTGAATTTAATATACGTGCGTGTGTCTATTATAATTATAATTAATAACATATGAAATATATATGCGTACGAAGGTTTAGTAGCCAAAGAATCTAAAATTTTTGCTGCAGCAGCATGATTTTTATTTCTTTCATAGAATTGCCAAAGTAATTCAGGTGCATTAACACGACTCAGATAAGTTTCTAATGAAGGCGCTGCAAGAGCAACAAGTTCACCATGAAATCCTCTTTCAATCATCCATATATATACCGCAGTATGAAGTATTTCACAAGAGGAATGTAATGCATCATTTATAATTTCATGTAACTAAAAGTATAAAATTATTTGAAGCATCATGTTGAGATATCTTTAATACTAATAAAACTTAGATGAAATGAAACATACTTGAGACATGAATATATATAATAAAACATATATTTTCCCTTCTTTCTGTGACTTTTGTTATAACACATTAAAACTGACATAATATAAAACTGACTTACCATATCTTTCGGAGGTGTTATCGATACAGCAGAAGTATTATGAAGAGCTGGTCCTGGTTTACTTGGAATGGTTGGCGTTAATGGATTTGACATGTTCTGATTAAAAATATGATCCAACATTGAAGTAAATTCTTTGTAAATTTCTAATCTATAATAAAAAATGACAATATATAATGTGTTAGTTGTAATTTCAATATTTTATTTCCAATAAAAATTTTTATAATATTTCATACCGTTTTATATAAGCTATATTCCCTTCTTGATCTTCTACAGGTTCATTATTTTTATAAAAATGTAATGCAGCATTGTGAGGATCTATTCTCTCCGCACAACAGAGACACAATTCAAGAACTCCTGTATAAAACTGACAGGCTACAAATTGCTGGCATACAGCACTCAAATTTAATCTGGGTGCTACTTCTTTACAAAGCTATATACAATATCAATAATTATATCGTATTGTAATTAAAAGCAATTTGATAAATAGGAAATATATGTATATAAATATTAATAATCTTCTACCTTCAATGCAGATTGCAGATAAACTTGTTTCTCTTCCGAATTTGTACAATTTTTTGCTTTCAATATTATTTCATTTGCCTACAATTTATTATTACACACGTTTATTTACAATTATTATTATAAAAGAATAGTCGTGCAGTATAGAAATGCAAATTAAACATTTCAAAAATATTATTTTAATAAAAAGAATATATATACAAATATGTATATATATATTTAGCATACCTTTGAACAAACTGCATCTTCACTTCTATACAAATTTGGACAAACCTCTCTTAATCTTGAACTTACCGCATCTACGGATGCATTGTCGCCAAGATAACTAAAAATATTTATAATTAAATGAAATGTAACAATTAGAAGAATTAGACACACGTGTATATGTATCTATTATACCTATCAATTAGATGAATGATCAATAAGGATGATATTTCATGTCCAATTAAAATTAAATCCCTAAACGTAGCCGTAGAAAATTGACTAATTTGATCCTATCAAAAAGAAAAAAAAGAAAAAAAAAAAAAAAAAAAAAAATACGAGGAATTAAAGAAATTATATGAAATAATTAGTAATTAGAAAAGAAATATAAAGAAACTATAATAAACTGTAATTACCTTAGAAAGACAATTAACAATATTATTTAATTGATTCTCACACAAAATCTCCCATAAACCTAACACCTCACAAGCATGTGTAATAAAAACTTTTAAAGCATCCAAGGAATTTCTTTCCTCTACTATAGGTTCTTGATAAAGATTGGGTAATGTTTCAAATTCATCCGTTATACTTCTTACATTATTATGTCTAAAACAAGAATGTCATCGCAAATATACATATAGTTTAAATTAAATTTTTAAGACTTATGTAATATATTAAATGCAATACATACTGCTTAGTAATATTTGTATTTTTATTGAGAAAACACCTTAAAGCTTGTAAATGATTCAAAATCCATCTAATTTGATTAGGTGGAATTGTACTAGATATCTGTAAAACATTATACAATAATATAAGAATAACCCTATATATTATTTGAACTTACATTAATTAATTTCTATTTATTTACCTGAGTTTTATTGTTTATATTTTCTTGTTTTATACAACGCATATTCCATATAGGTCGAAGTATTCTTCCTACATATAAATATAAACCTCCATGTTTTGCTGAAAATTGTTGTAAAGTAGCATCTGAATTTAAACCCATTTGTGGATGTTGCCTAAATACTTGAGGTCTATTATCAAAAATTTGTACTCTGGGTGTTGACGTACGTATATCTCCTGTTCGAACAGAAATCGAGGAAAAAAAAAAAAAAAGAAAAAAAAAAGAAAAAAAAAGAAAGAAAAAAAATTAAAAAAAAAAAAAAAATTTTTTTTTTGCTTATCTATATCAAAGTGTATATATAATAATACCTGTATGTATATTAGGAAAATTGCTATGCCTATCAATTGCAGGGACAATCCCTGATACCTTTTGTCCACCATATAAGAAAAAGGCTCTTGTTGCCCATTCACATAACTAGAATTAAAGAGGAGAAAAAAAAATGAAATAAATATACTTAAATAAATCATTATTAATTATAAACGTCACAATAAAAATATTTACACAATACCTGAGTATTTTGAGAAGTTTCTAAAGTAGCTAAAATTAAACATGTTGCACATGCTTGTTCTGGAGACTGAGATTGAAAATAAGCACGTACTGATTCTGTATCAGGTCCACGCTGTTCTAGTAAAAGTTGTCTTAAAATATCTACAGGACGTACTTGAATTAAAGTTATTGCACCCTATAAAGAGAGAAAAAAAAAAAAAAAAAAAAAAAAAAAAAAAGAAAAAAAAAAATTATCAGATATGAAATAATAAAATTTTTTTTCTTAATAATATTTCATTTATTTTCAATACCTGAGTTGTTAAAAATATAAACTTCCTAGGTGGCTCCATGTGTTGTCTAACAAGAAGAGGTGGTTCTCCTTGTGTGCTGCTTTGTCTTTCTATATGCATAGCCGATTCTCCAATAATTTCTGCCATTGCCCATACAGGACTATCGAGAGGTAAGATACTTTGAGTTTCAGCTAAATAATTTGTAAAAGGATATGCATCATTGCTTAAGCACCATGCACTTTCTGTATCACCACCACAGACAAGAATTAATGATCCTATAGATCAAACAATAAATTATACGTAAAAAACAAAATATTTAAACAATATATACTATTTGTAACATTTTATTGAAATTATAAATTGATCAAACCTTTTCTATAATGTGCCATTTGAACCTTTTTGGGCCTTGTTACTGGAGCATTAGCAGCATAGCCTGGTGGCAATCTTACATGTATTAATTGAAGTCCTTGCGGTCTACTCGATGGATTTGAAGGTGATGTGCAACAGAAGTAAAAACGAGTTCCAGTAGCTGCCACCACAACCAAATTCAAATGTATTGATTCATACTCTGTTATAGCGGATATGCTCACCAAAGGTCGAAAATTATTACTATCGAGAGTTCTATTAAATAAGTATAAATATAAATAAATAAATAAATATATATATATATATATATGCTGAGATTTCATAAAAATTGTGTAGAAATGATGATATAAAAAATTACATACTTTACAACATGAACAGTATTTTGAACTAATGAACTTTGAGAGAGCGATGTAATTTTGGATGCACCACCATTATCAATATCCCAAACAGTAATGGTACCTTTGTCTCCCAGAGTATATAAAATATTACGAGAATCGTCTATGGAAATTTGTATTATTGCTTCATCTTCAGATAGAGCCATAGTTACAAATGAAGGAATTACAAATGATAATGGCCCTTCAGAATGATTAACTTTTTTACAACGTTTCCCAAACCAACTACTTTCTGCCTGTATACATATACAAATATTTATTTATTAAAAATAATATTTTAAATATTTATACTTTTTTTAATATTAAGATATATTTACCTGATAACATATTTCAAACAATGAGCCATCTCTACCGCCAAGAAAAATTCTACCATTACTAGTATTGGCAATAGTGGTTATACCAATACCATCAGTAGTAACAGTAAAAATTGGTTCTGGTACCAATTGCATTTCTATTGATTTACCTATTAATAAAATGATTTAATTGTTATTGAAAGGAAATGAAATGAAAAATTAATAATCACAAAAGAAAAAAAAATGAAATACATTACCATCATTACCCTCATTAAGTATAACTGCAAGTATAGTTATTTCAACTGTTGTTGTTAGAATTAATAGATATCTAACATAGCTTTGAAATATGCCTGGTTTTGGTTTTGTTAGACCAACACTTATAATAGTCTCATTCAATCCATCAAAGTATGCGACATCAGCTCTGAAAGATAGAGTTTTTCAATTATAAAAAATGTTTGTTTTATTATTTTATTTCTATTTTTCTTTTATTTATTGTTTATAAAAATAATAAACAATACTCGTTTTCATATGACCACACATAGATATCACTGTCAATTGTAAGCCATGCTTTTGAAATATCTGTAAATAAACCCATCATGCAATGACATTGCATATCTAAATAAACATTAAGGAAATAATAAATGTTTGAAAGAAAAATGAGTAAACTATTGAAGAATATATATATGGTGCATATAGAATATTACAAGGATACGGCCAAAATGTTCCATCACTTCAGACGGCAAAGGAATTTTACTATGTATTTTCATTTGATTTATATTTGTCAAACTTATTGATGATCCATGTAAACTTGGATAATCATGATCATCAAGACCACTAACAGTTGGCCCACCTAATCAAATTTTGTCTTTATCAATTGTATAAAAAAATTAAATAATTATTGAACTCATATTGTAGCATATCAAATACCTTGAATATTATATCTCATTAAATTAATTAAAGATGGAAAATTACTATCTGCTGTGATATGTTTATCAACCATTTTTCCAGCCATTTCCAATGCATCTAAATGTATTTTAAGTGGCTCCATTTCTGTAAGTGACATTTTCTTAACTTTTTATCCCTCAAAATCTGAAAAAAAAAAAAAAAAAAAAAAAAAACAAATTGTGTAAAAATAAAAATTATATATAAATATAGTAATATAATTAACAACGATATCTTACGATTTATTAGACATCTAAATATATACATTATTTAAAAAATTATTCAAATTATTTTATGGTTTCATTTATATACGATTTTCTTCAATAATGTTATAGCATTCTTAAAAGACCGGTACGTTAAAAGGTTAGGTTATATATATATACAATATGAATACAACCAAAAATAAGTATGATTAGTGATATAAAAGAGTGATAAAGTTTGAAAAAATTAATATTAACATATATAATATCTATATACCTGAACAAATGAAATTTTCTTAAAGTTTTAATTAAAACTTTTCACGGGCATATTAACGACAGTCATTCGCACGAGGTTCACACCCGTTTACTTCGCGCCACTCATTGTCAGTCTGATAAACTTAAAGCACAAAAATAAATACAGTTAAAAATCAAAATACAAAACTTTTTGTGTTCACTTCAAGTAATTTCACATCGTATGATCCGCATACGAATTCGTACGAACGTAAAGTGTGTAATGCATTACAAAATCAACATCCATTTATTTATATATTTACATATAGTATTTAGTATATTTTTTTATTCGAAATAAATATATATAATTATGTAATTCCTTTTTATGTGATGTTGAATATGTTATCTTTATATCTGAACATATTACAATAATCAATTATTGTAATACTTAAATAAATAATTAGATATATGCATCTGGAAAATGATGTCATGTATAGTTAATATATTTTTTTGTAAAAGAAAGATGCCAAAAATATTTTTTTGGAAACAAATATATTTTTATGCGGTAATTATAATCTTATACAGTTTAACATTCGTTAACAGTGCTAAAATAAATCAATTCAAAGTCTGTGGACCGTCTTCCAAAAATCCTCAAAGGTAATGTATTATAACAAATCAATGGATTATATTCCATATTTGTTGTCTACAAAATTACTTGAATTATTTTATAAATATTATATAAATATATAGACCAATTTAATATTAATTAAATAATAAAAGCAAAATCTATTCAATTTATAAGAAATAATATTTTGTATGTTTGCAGTTTGATATTTGTAAGTACATTGGATGGCAAAGTATCAGCATTGGATGCTGCCAATAATGGAAAGAAACTATGGGCTTTGGATTTTGGCAAGAGTCCCATGTTATCGTCTAACATTCATCGGAGAGAAGTATGTTGATTATATATTAACATAATTAAGTAATATATAAATTAAAATGTATATCAATGTATTAATAATCGATTAATTATATTATTTTTATTTTTGTTTTGTTTTGTTTTATACAATGTATAATTTATCCATCCTATTTTATAGCTTAATAATAATGGACAATGGGTTAGATTAATTCCATCCTTAGGAGGTGGATTATATAAATTTGATGGTGAAAATCTAGAAAAATTACCAGTGACAACCGAACAATTATTATCTTTATCATTCCGTTATTCTGATGATTTAGTATTTTCTGGAGGCAAAGAAACACGATCATATGGTAACTATTATATTTATTACGATCTTGTAATATACAAATATATCATTAATTAATTTATTATTATGAATGTAAAGAATATAATCATTATCATCTCAATTAATTTTTTTTTTGTAGGAGTACTGAGTACAACTGGAAAAATATTATATGAATGTAAAATCGATGGTTGTCGTAATTATACTACTACAGACACTCATATTGATAAAGAAATACTTGTCATTCAACATTTTCAACAAACTGTCAGAGCAGTTGAACCACATAGTGGTGCAGAAAAGTAACTTTTTCGATATATCATTTAATCCTTTATTTTATCATAAAATAAAATCTAAAATAAGATTTAAGAAATAATTTGTTATTATTTTTTAAATAGATGGAACTTCAGTGTAGGACAGCACGAGTTACTTTTAACTTCCAATCAAGATATGTGCCATGATGGTAATATTCCTGAATTTGAGCTTAAAGTTATTGTCCCTGAAGGACTGATTTGGGCAGTTAAAAAAAATTCTCCTAGCGTAAAATTATGGCAATATAAGGTTAGAAATATTAGTTTAAAACAATAATAAAAATAATTAATTTTTAAAAACAAAAATACGTAAAATAAAAGACATATTTGCCTGAATTGTTCTAATTACAATAATTACTTCTCACAGTTTGATTCTCCAATTGTTACAATATGGCAAAAAGAAAATACAAAAAATATTAACAATAACAAAGGATTAAAGGAAGTTAATTTATTTGATAACTCTCAATGGATTTGGGGTTCCGAATTTGCAATAGGACCTAGTATTTATATAGGAATGCATGACAGACAATTATATGTACAAGAAAATGCACAAGTTTATAAATCTTTGGGATCGTCTTCAACTAAATTTACATTACATTCACAAATTCCTTGGCAACCGTATCCTGCTATTGGTACATAATTGTTTAATTGCTGAATATAGTAGAAGTATAGTTCTAAATATATTATATTACTCAGAGATATACATAGTACTTAATATTTTCCAGGTACAGCACTGATAACTAATCCGTTAAGTATAAAAGAAAATGATAAGAATAACTCTTTTGAAATAACTGATGTACAAAGTACAACTGCTTTATCTGTAATGTATAATTCAGAATATATTAATGGTGTGTTTTATCAATTTTTTATATCATAAAAAAAGAAAAAAAAAAAAAAATCCAAATAAGTTACAATTAAAACGCTATTTAAAAAAAAAAAAAAAATATATATATATATATATGTCTCTTAAAAGGAAATTTTTTTTTTGACAGGAAATGGTTTCTATTTATATTTAAAGGAACATTTACAATCAAATAGGAATAATCAATCTTGTAATGATTCCAATATCCTTATTACTAGCAGTGAAGATAACAGAAGTTTTTATGAAGAGATCGATGATGAATATGATAATGATGAAACTCCAGTACAAGTCATTATTGTCTCCCTATGGTATTGGTGGTAAGTTTTTAATAAGCAAATCAAATAGTCGTATGGCATATAAATATATAAATAATTTTGTTGCTAGGAAAGAAGTTTTAGTAATATCAATTACTACGGCACTTTTACTAAATTTTATATGGACTCAACATCTATTAAATAGAACAGCAATAACTAAAGACGCTATACCTCCTGTAAGTTAGCACATTGATTGCAACAGTACTTTTCAGGATTCCGATGTAAAAAGCCAATTTAATTTAATTATATTATATTATTAAAAACTCTAATTATAGTACGTAATAATCATAAAAAAGCACATAAAATGTGTTTTTTTTTTTTTTTTTTTTTTTTTTTTTTGGAGGAAAAAAGCGATTTTTATTTCTTTATTTTCTATTCGTATTTATACTGATATACTACGAATTTCATCGTAGCTGTACAAATATGGCAAGTAAACAAACTACAAGATAACTCATAGAATAATTGGGATGATAGAACGTTGTTTCTATTATATTCAGTAATCAATAATGCCATCTACGAATTATTTCGTTATTGACAATCAAACGTATTAATATAAAATTTTATTTTTATACATGCTGATGTTTTTAGAAATAAAGCATTTATATATTACAGCCCTTGATAATAGAACGCCACATTGAATGCAAGAATGTCAACGAAATTACAGATCAAGGACAAAATGTAAATTTCAAATCTCGTTATTTAACAGATTTTGAACCAATTGATTGTTTAGGCAAAGGTGGTTATGGAGTTGTATTTGAAGCTAAAAATAAGATAGACGAATGTAATTATGCTATCAAACGAATTGCATTACCTAATAGGTAATTTTGACTGAAAATATTTTTTAATTAATAATATTGTAATTTTAAATTGAAATTTGTCGTATATCTATTTTACAGTCAAGATTCTAGAGAACGTGTTATGCGTGAAGTAAAAGCATTAGCAAAACTGGATCATTGCAATATTGTCAGATATTTTAATGCATGGCTTGAATGTCCTCCTATTGAGTGGTTAGAAGAACACGATCGAGAATGGATTTCCAAGGAAAATTTTCTATCATCAGAATTTTTATTAAATGCTAATAAAAATGAGAAAAAATGTGATGGTTCCACTTGCATTAATGTTTCTATATCCGAACGGTCTTCTGTAGATAGTGCTTGTGAAGCTTATGTTTTAAATCATGAAAGTGATGATTCTTTTGTCGTATTTGAACATTCTGAAAAGTTGAAAAACGAAGAAAATGTCATAGATATTGGTAGTTCTAATACAGAAAATTCTGACTCACAATGTTCTAAGGACAATAATTTGAAGGACGACGATGATTCTTTTTTTTCCCAAAACGTTCCATCTTTTGGAAGTAATAATAAACTGTCCAGAATGGAAGAATATAAAAAACGTAGAAAATCTTCGCTTTCCATAAATTTAAAAGAAAAATCTAATAATCGTAAATCAACAAAAATGTTTTTATATATACAAATGCAATTATGTCAAAGGCTTAGCCTCAGAGAATGGCTGAAAAAGGAAATGAATCCAAGGGATAGTAGTATGATATTGAATATATTTCATCAAATTGTTGATGCCGTAGAATATGTTCATTTGCAAGGTCTTATTCATCGTGATTTGAAGGTAATCCAAATTGATATTTATATTACCACATCAGATGATAGTAACATTATATTATAATTTACAGCCATCGAATATATTTTTTGCTTATGACGATAAAATAAAAATTGGTGATTTCGGCCTTGTTACTGCTATGACCGAAGGTTACAAAGAAACTTATTTTCCGTCAGATCAAAGTGGAAATAATAAAATAAACCATAATTTGCATACGTCCTGCGTTGGTACTCAGTTATATATGTCGCCTGAACAAATGAACGGACAAATTTACGATTATAAAGTAGATATATATTCTTTAGGAATTATTTTCTTTGAATTGTTAATGTCATTCGATACAGAAATGGAAAGAATAATCAATCTTACGAATTTACGTAGATTATCATTCCCAAAGAATTTTGATATATATTTTCCAGCTGAGGTAAAAACAATTTTTTAACTATATATATATATTTAAAAAAAATTTTTTTTTTATTTATAGATTATGTAATTTTACGTATCTTTTAAAGCGTAATAATTATACTTCATTTTTATATTTTACATTGTATTATTGTCATAATTAATTTCATATTTATTCTTACCTTTCATATTGTAGTATACATTATTGAAAATTATGTTGGATGAAAGACCTGAAAAGAGGCCTACAACACTGGGAATCAAAGCAAGACCGCCATTGTCGCATTATGGAAAAAAAAATGGTTTTAGGATAAATGAAAGTTCAGAGTGGCATTTTGAATTACCACAACTTGCCAGATATTCATCTGTAACAAATGGTAGTAGTAATAATGAATCACAGGTAAACACAAGTACATAAAAGACTATCAATGTAAACAATAAACTTATTGTAATTCCATTTTGGAATATGTTCCTGTTTTTTTAATCATTATAAAAAAGTTTATATCTCAGAGGTATATATTTTTTTTCATTTTAAATATGTAACATTTTTCCTGACTGTGTATGTGATTCGCATTATCATTTTTTAACGTTTCTTTGTTGTGTTGAATACTTTTTTTTTTTTTGAAGAAAAAAAAAATTTTAATATTTTGATACAGAGAGCAATATGAGAAAAGACATATATTTATTATAAAAATTCATGTATATTACAATAAAAATAATAAAATGTGATAATTTAATAGGTTATATTATAAAATAAATATTTGTTATAGAATAATCAAATGATTTAAAATTACAATTTATTTAAATATATATATGTGTATATATATATATATATATATATATATATATATATATATATATTACTATTGTCACAACATATTTACTACATAATTATTATTCAATAATCATTTTATCTTTGTTGTACCATTAGTTCTGTATTTATAAAATTACTATAGATTATACTGTTGCTGTTTCCTTTTTTTTATTTTTTTTTAATTAAATTTTTTTAATCTACATATACTAAATACAATACTATTATTTTCAATTGAATAATTAACTTTTTCATTAAATTAATTTTTTTTTTTTTTTTTTTTTTAAATAAATTTCTAATAAAATAAATTATATAATTGTATGTGCATAAATTAAAAAATTGTATGTGCATAATTCTTTTAATGGAAATTATTTTTCCGCAATTTATAATAATATGATCTTGATTTTATACTTTTTATATAATTCAAATATATTAATATTAATTTAAAAATCATACATTAAAGATCCCAACTAAATAAATGGTGTTTTACTAACATATCTCGAACACCATCTTTCAAAGGTTGAGATTGCTCTTTTTTTGCTGGTAGTTCCCAATCAGGATTTAAATTAAATGCAAATTGACTGAGTATTCTTAACTCACATTTTATCTGTACCCAACCTGGACTATTTATGAAACTCCATGGATAATACCTAAATTAATTATTAATAGTATTAACGACATTGATATTTAATAAAAATATATATCATTATTTTTATACTTAATTCGCGTTATAAATATTTTTAATCCGTACCATTTTTGTACTACCTCTACGCATGAACATAGAACTTCAAGCCATAGATGTAAAACTTGTTCATTCAATCCAAGACAAATTAATGAACGTAATTTAACATCCATTTGTGCATGAGCATTGTCGTGTGACAAGTTTACAGACTGTACACATCGATATAACAACTAGAATAAAAAATGAATACTTCTCATTATTTATTGCATAAGTTTGGAGAATAAAAAATAATTAATAACTATTATCAATAACTTACTTCTTCAGGAGTTAAAACTTTACCATCCTCATCCAGCCTATATGTTTTACAAAGTACCAACCGACTGTACACAGAATTGAAATCCTTTTCTATCTCTCTGCTTGAAGCTTCTTCAATGAAAAGCCATGGATGACATGGACCTCCTAAGAATGATGGTTTACGCATTCCATGTTCTAATACTGCTTTTATAGCAGGACATAAAGAACCTCTAACTAAATCTGTAACAGCTTCGCTGACTGCATCATCGCCTGCACATGTATACTGTTTACTTCGTTCATCCAATAATTCGACAAATTTAGCAGGAAACCAGCCTAAAAATCAAGTTAAATGTAACATTCGAAAAATAGCAAGTTGAAATTATAAACTGATTTATATAAAAAAAAAAAAAAAAAAATAACCTTAAACAAATAAAATAATTTTAAGAAAATTAATTATTATAATATATCTTTCACATATGTTACCCCTAAGTCCATTAAGTTCTCCTACCCAACAATGTTCATCTTTTTGACTAATAATAGTAATTATATCATTTTTACGAAATCCAAGTTCATCGTCATCATGCCTTTCAAAATCTACAATTATTAAATGATTAATATTTATTGTCATATTATAATCATGTATAATTATTTAATTTATACCCAATAATGCTTTAGCTCTTCTTTTTCTGTTGCGTGATACATTTATATAACTATCGTGATCTTTGGCATGACTTTCCATACTATAGTCTGCTATAAGTATAACATTGTTTAATTTTGGATCAACATTTATAAAGTGTCTTGCTACTTGTAGCACAGATTCTCTTAGATCAACCAAAATTTCTGAAATAATATAAAAGTAAAAATTTAAATACCATGCATTTTAATTAATATTTAATATAACAAACCAGTTTGATGAATATTCTTTGATTTTGCATCATCCTCTTCATTATCATTTCCAAATAAAAATGTTTGTAGCATTGATTTACTTCTTTTTATTTGACGTCTTAAAAGAAAATCAATTATCATTATAATATTATTAATATTATAAGTACAATCTATATTTTCTTTAAAAAATAAAGTTAAATTATTTACCTATTTAGATGTTGTTTCGGTAAATTTGGCAATGCATCTGGATTACCAACTAATGCACCTTGATCAGCCATTAAATATGCTAAATGACGTCGTCTATGAGTTTCGATCAAAACGTCAGTTAATGATCCACTTACTTCTAGTGATATCTATATATATATATATATATATATATGTATATAAATACATATAATAAAATTTAATTAATCTTATTATATATAAATATTATATATAGAAAAACAAATTATTTATATTTTACTTACGCGAAATAATTGATCTACATCATCAATATCTCCAGGTATATCCGAAAGAGCATTAAATATTTGTGCAGAATTTTCAAGCTGCTTCAGATCTATCTCTATAATAATAATTTACATATTTTAATTATATGTTTCTATAAAGGATATTATAATTTTTTTAAATACCTTTTATCTTTAACATTCCAAGAGTAATTTGAAATAAAACTATAGAACCATCAAAAAGAAATAAATCCCACACTCGCAATAAAATTTTCATATGTACAACTGATGCAAATAATGTGAGAAACCAGTGCAGAGATATTAAACTTAATTCTATATCATGTTGTTCTAATACATGATCGATATCTGGTAAATAATTAGCTACTAATGTGCGTAGAACTCTTTGATCTGCTTGAATTCCTGTAAATATATAACAATATATTTGATTATTAATTAATTTATAATTTATAATTTATATTATTTATAACATGAAATAGAATATGACCTTATAAATGTGTATAGAAAATTTCTACCTAATAATGTTGCTGAATAATATGAAGCTGGTAACAGATCTTCTACTATAGTTGCCATCATCCAAAATGCATCCTCTTCTTCTAACAAGAGTAATAGCGAAGCAGCTATTATACCGGTACCTTGACAATATCTTAACAATATAAACATATAATGTATTATTTTTTAAGTTTATCATAATTATATATATATTATTATACAAATACTATCCTTACCCAATATCAGGATATAACCAAGCAAGAGTACGCATAACTCTTCGTAAGCGTGGTATTCCTGTACTATGAAGATGACTAAAACATGCATTTGCAGGCATAATACGAAGAAGATCTTTTTCTATTTGTTTATTAGTCATAAGTACATCACTGCTAGATGCTCTTACTATATCTTTATACATCATTTCTGAGGTATGCTTTTTTTGTAATGCACCTATGAAATTGTAATAAATTATTTTTGTATATACATATATATATATAAATTTGTAAATGATATTATGCCATTAATATAAAATACAGATAATAATCTCTGTCGTATATTACCAGACATTTGCATCCAAATTTGAGGTCGAAGAGAATGAGGTATACCACGGCGAACCATGTCACGTAATTTATCTGTACGAGGTAATCTTTGATTTACATTCTGCCATGAAAAATCTGTATCCTCTTTATTGTTACTGAATTCCAAAAGAGCAACCCATTGTAATCTGGTAGTATAAAAATAAATTTTAATAAAAATAAACCTACCATATGTCTATTGAAAATAATTAAACTATTTATTAATACCTATGTTGGGGATCCTCCACAAAGGGAATGCCAAGGATTTTTCTTGAACTCTGTTCTGGTCCATCTTCTTCTTCTACACGAAAACCAAATTCATCAAATCTACAATATTATATTATTACTTTTTATTTAACAAATTTAAAAATATTAAATTTAGCCTAATAAAAGCCTATATAATACCTATATTCCGGTTGAGAATTAGGATCATCCGGTTGATTCAATTTAGCTAAAATATCTTGTGGCCACATGGACGATGTTAAAGCAGAAAACGATCCACCAGGTACAGGTGATAAATATTCTCTAGAATTTTTATCTCCTGTCTCCAATTCATCTTCTGACAAGTTTATTTCTAACTTTTTCTAAAGGAAATGACAAATTAAATTACTTTCTAAATAAATAATACATTCATATATATATATATACATATATATATATGTGTGTGTGTTAAATAATAACAAAATATTTTGTCAGATAATATAGAATAAAGAATATTTACATTATGTTCTTCTTTTCCGACATAACCTTCATGATCGCGTACATTGAAAAAGGATTTTGCAATATCCATCTTTTATCACTTAATTAATTATTCAATATTATTGAACTCGAACAATATACATTAATTATTTATTCGATTAATTAAACATATTTTATGTACTATCATATACTATTATATACTTTATACTTGTTTATTCTACTGTTCACTATACGTGTAATTCGTGACGTTTTTCTCAACATGTTTCTTACGACATATAATCGATCAAATGTAATGAATATTTAAACGTGACGTCATTAAAAGAGCGCCATATTTAAAATCCAATAAAACTTTTATTAATTCGATATTTATGTACGTAAACTAATTGCAATGTTATTTCAATAAATATTTAACAAAATAATTGATATAATTGTAAACTAAATAAAAAGAATTTTGTAACAAAATTAAAATATTATGAAAAAAATATATAATATACTTTAAAAATTGTTTCACACTATTTTAGCATATAAAGAGATAATATATCTTCATTAGGATTAATTTTCTACGCATATTTTAATCTTTTGCATTTATATATATATATATATATACACATTTATTAGTTTTTATGAATTTATAATAAAAAAAATGTGTATCGATACTAATGACAATAAAATGTTTATAATTCACGCAATCGAAATGATTCAGAAAATGTAAACAAATACACGTGATAGGGACGTGATAAGGAGATTCAAAAGCGTACGTACAATTTTCAGATATTGCATAATACTTTTCGAACGGGAAATCGAAGGAAACCCTAAAAATGACCTATATAAATTCGTTTCTTAATTAAACAATTGATTATCATTAACCAATTAACGATAGTTAACGATAACTAAAGTTCTTTATATCTATCACGCACTTAACACGCAAATGTTGTTTGTATTTCCTGTCTCGTCACGTTGAACGAACTTATAACACGGATCATTGCTATATGCATGCCATCATCAAAGAAATATATAATTGCTTTAACTTATACTAACTCGATTCTTGTATTACAGATATGTTAGACATTGTACTAATACTTACATAAACTTATACATTGATAGGATAGGCATATGATGGGGATTAATAATTGGGTTTATATAGTTAATATTTTCTCCATACTTTTCACTAAAGTTAGACACGCTTTCAGCGAATTTTGATAAACATAATATTTTAACACGCAAATTTAGAAGAAACGAAGAAAATATTTTCCATTTAACGTTACAAATAAAAAAAACAATTTTGATAGATATAGATAATTCTTACAGAAATCTAGAACGATCGAAAAGAAATAATTAGAATTAGAAAAAAGAGAAGTGTAATTTTCTATTATCATTAAATATGATAAAAATATAATAATATATCTTATACATTATTACATATCTTATACATTATATTATACTATATGCTTGAGGAAATGATTGATTGATATCAAAAATATTATTGTGAAATATCGTGAATATAAATCAAGAAACAAATATGTTATCAACGATTGCATAAAATTATGATAATAAGAAATAATTCTAAGTAACGAAGAACTCTTTTACTTTCTGGATGAAATACAAATGTATATGTATAATTAATATTTTATATTTTATAATATTAATATTAATTGAATTGAACTGAAATGTATGTATATGTATAACTTACATAAAGTAATATATGATGCAATAAAAAAATTATCTTTTATTTTAATTACCCGAAAATTGAAATTTATTTGAACGATATAAAATATAATAATAAATTATAATGAATCATGTAAAAAAAGAGAGAGATAGAAAGAGAAAGAGAAAGATAGAAAGAGAGAGAGAAAGAGAGAGAAAAAGAGAGAGAGAGAGAGAGGGAGAGAGGAGAGAGTATGGTGTTGAAACTAAGAATTCAATAACAGCAGCACGATCGATTTAACTGTACGACTAAACGATATTTATCAGTTTGTTATAGTTCATAAACGCGTCAACATGTTAAGATCTATCAAGAATGAGAATGATCAGAAATTGTTTATCGATAATGACGACGATCAAGCAACGGAAATATATTCAAATGATAGTGAAAAATATTCTACCAAAGAAAATGCCACAACGAGTGAGATCAAGTCTGAAAGTCGAGTTCTTGTTTTGTATACCGGTGGTACTATAGGAATGATTAGAAATGAAAGCGGAGGTGAGAGCAATCATTAAAATCGAAAGGATTTTATTATAACGGAGTCTTATCTTTTCTCTTTTTTTTTTTCTTTTATTTTTTCTTCATTTTCAGAAATCTTATCTTTTTGCTTGTCCAATTAATTTTTCTTATTAATATTATGTTGTATATGTTTCATAGAAAGAAAGAAAAAAGAAAAAAAAAAGCAATAAATTTCTTACAACTATCATACAGTTTCATTCTGATTTAACAGGAAAAACGATAAGAAAAATAAGTTTATAAATGTTTAATCTAACATTAGAAGATTAGATATTGGTCACGATTTTTAAACAGAAATATACGATCTATTTGTATTAAATTAATCTACGTATGAAATTATTATACTTTCTTTTCTTTTCTCCTTTTTTTTTTGTCTATTGATGTCTTTTAATATTTTAGTTCTGGTACCAAAAGCCAATTCTTTTGTTAATAATTTACGACAATTTTCTCAAATGCATGATCGTGATTATGCCAAGCGAATATACGGCAAAATGGCTGACGAAAGTCCTTTGATCTTACCGTAAGCGTATTATTCATTGTATAAAGACAATACTTTGGATATTGCAACCAAATAGCAATCATTCTCTTTTACTACAAATTATATACGATTCATTATTCTTTTTGTTTTTGTTCTTTCTCAGGGTTAAAACAACGGATAATTGTCGTGTTATTTATGAGGTATTAGAATATTCACCGCTTTGCGATTCCAGTGATATGACTATGGACGATTGGATTCTTATTGCCAATGATATCAAAGTAAATCATTTATGTATATATTTGGAAAAAAAAAGAAAAGAAAAGGAAAAGGAAAAGGAAAAAAAAAAATATATATATATATATATATATATATTTATTTATTTATTTATTTTTTCACATACACATATAAAAACCAAAAATTAGTAAAGTTCATCAAATTAAAAATTTCTTTTTTCCTTTTTTTTTTTAGAAATACTATAACGATTTCGACGGATTCGTAATATTACACGGAACAGATACACTGAGTTACACAGCATCTGCCTTGTCATTTATGTTGCAAGATCTCGATAAGATTGTTATCTTGACTGGTTCTCAAGTTCCTATATTTGATACGAGGAACGATGGAGTAGATAATTTTCTTACATCTTTGGTAATAGCTGCAAATTATAATATACCAGAAGTATGCGTATTCTTTGGAACTAATCTTATGCGTGGAAATCGTACCAGTAAAGTCTCGGCCACGTCCTTCGATGCATTTCACTCACCAAATTTTCCACCTTTGGCTACGGTTGGAATAAATATAGAAGGTTAGCGTATATGTTATTAATTAAACGAATTAAAAAAAAAAAAAAAAAAAAAACTCCGATATAAATTATTTTCTTTTAAATATCTTTAATAATAAAACATCGGATAATATCATTTGTATTTTCTAAAATCTGAAAACAAATTTTTTTTTTCTTATATTTAAAATAAACTATAATACATTGTATAATAGATTAATTAATCTCGTTAATTATCAATCAATATAAACATTTTTTAGTCGACTATCGTTTAACGAAATATCCTCAAGGTCCAGGAAATTTTACGGTACATTTGAAATTGAATCGAAACGTCGGTCTTTTACGACTTTTCCCTGGTATTACTGCTGATCTAGTCAAAGCATTTCTTCAATCACCAACTGAAGGTGTTGTATTGCAAACATATGGTTCTGGTAATATACCAAGCAATCGCGAGGATATACTCGTTGAATTTCGTGAAGCTACACGACGTGGTATTATTATCATCAATATAACTCAATGTACAACTGGTCGTGTATCGGGTACATACGAAGCAGGAAAATTATTAGAGGAAGCTGGTAGATACATATACATATATACACACACATACATATATATATGTATATCAATAAAAATTATATTATTTTAAAAATTGTAATATTTCGAACAGGTGTAATATCTGGTTATGACATGACGCCGGAAGCTGCTCTAACAAAATTAGCTTACGTATTATCTAACACTGATTGGAATGTAAAAAGAAAACGAAGAATAATGCAAAGCAATTTGCGCGGTGAATTAACATCAAGTCAACTACCATTTATGTTCGAATCAGATCTAGTTAATGCCGTAGCGAGATCATTAAAATTATCTTCAAGAGCTGAATTTCAAGAATTGACTTCCATACTTTTTCCTTCTATGCTCAATGCGGCAGTAGTTAAATGCGATATAGACAAGTTAAAATCATTGAAGGAATATGTAAGTGATCGCACAAAATTTGATTGTCTTCTTTTCTTATTTCTTCTTTTTTTTTTGTCTCTCTTTCGTTTCCTCCTTCTTGATTTTCTTTCCTTTTTCTTTATTTTCTAGGGTGCTAACGTATCACAAACAAACGTAGATGGTCGAACTGCCCTGCACATTGCTTGCTGTCAAGGAAATTTAAATATTGTACAAGAATTATTGAAAATGGGCGCAAACGTTAATAAAAAAGATCGTTTCCAACGAACACCACTCATCGAAGCTATTGAAAATGATCATCGTGAGGTAAATTGTATTTTTATTATGCGAACAACACAAATTGTCTGTCCAATTTGATCGATATATCAAATTGCACATTACACAATGTATTAATTTTTTTTTTTTTTTTTTTTAATTTTTTACTCAGATCATACTTTTTATAATCATCAAAAAAAAAAAAAATATATATATATATATATATAGTGTATTCATTACAGATTATCAACATTTTATTAGAACACGGTTCTAAACTTGATAAAGATATTATAGGAAATAAAATTTGTGACGTAGTTGGATCTGGAAATGCAAAACGTCTTCAATCATTTTTAATCGCCGACCCTGACATATCCGAAAGAAAGGATACGTCTGGTAGAACGCCTTTGCATTTAGCTGCGCTACATAATGACGTAACTATTATTAAATTACTTTTAAATCACGGAGCAAATCCAAAATCTATTGACATGATCGGACACACACCGTTCGATCTAGCAAAATTAGTTGGTGCGGTCGATGCAATGGAATGTCTTACACTTAACGACGACGTTAATGAATAAAATTAAATAAATTAATTTATATAAGAATCACTTTAAACTTTCAACATGAAGATATTAAATATTATTGATTAATCATCGTCACTTTTAACGCTACAGTTGATTTATAAAAAAATCAGATTACCATTGATTACATATATATATTTTTTTTTAATGATTTTCTATCACGCAGCAAAAATATCACAGCGTATGATTTTTCGATTCTATCTTAAAAAATAAAGCTATAGAAAAAAAAAGAAAAAAAAAAAAAAAAAAAAAATTATGAATACATTGAAATTGAAAAAGTTAGTAATGAAAAAAATGTTTTGTTTTTTTCTCTTTTGGTGGCGAAATAAAACAACATCAATTATTATATTTTATTCGTTTAATTCCATCGACAATATCACAATATCAATAATACAGACACGTTCTTTTGGATGTATGCGTTATGTGTGACAATCCAATCCCCTGCCTCCTCCGGCAAATTTATTTATTTATTTGTCTTACTTTGATGCTAGTATTTTTTTCTCTTTTTTTTTCTTTTTTTTTTAAACAACACTATATTCTTATTATTTCTATACTTCTATCGAAATATATATCGTATATATGCGAGTTCGTTCATACGTTCATATCTGGATATCGCATTATATGTATATTTCATATGTATTGAAGTGATAGCCTACTCTCTTTTTATTTCGAGGATGTTTGAAATACAATATAATGTATATGTGTGTATATATATATATATATATACATCGATAATTTATTTATTCAATTTTTTTTCCTTCGATAGAATATATTTTCTTTGCAACGTATATTAGATTAATTTCACAAAATACGTAATCTCACTGCAATTAGTTTTTATCGAATGTTTACAACGTGAATAAAAAAAGAAAAAATTGTACTTTTATTTTAAAAATTCTACGCTGTTATATTCTCAACTTTGGAAAATAAATGAGATAAAAAATAAACTTCTCTATTTTTTTTCGCATCTAACAACCTCGCGCAAGTATTAATCGATATATTCCGTCATCTCGTGAACAAAGAATTTCAATTATATATATATATATTTTCTTTTTTATTATTAAAACATTAATCGTGGGTGGAACGTATACCTGAGAACAAAATATAGGTAACACAATACGACTAGTTGTTAGTTTCGTAACTATACCGATTTTTTTAAATTATACAAATTCATAAAATCAAAGTATATATAACGCACGAATATATAATAACCATATAATTCTTTCTGCAAATATGTATCCATTAAATTTACGTAACTGAGTTGTTGTTCACAGAAATGTTCTTCTATAAGAATAGGGTCAAAAGTTCCCAAGTGATTTTTAATAAATCAATCACTTCCTCTATTTTTTTTTCTTTTTTAGATACTGCTCGGCCTAATTTTATTTTTAGATTTTACAAACAAGATCTTACAAGGTTTTGTAGTTTTATAATTCGAAAAGAAGAAAAAGAAAATCAGACCAGAAAATAACTACCAATTGATAATTGATTTTTAAAATCAGAGAACTTAGAAACTTTTGTCACACCCTGTATACCATTATATTGAATACTCTATCATTACATATATCTTATATTCGTTAACATTTCAATTTCATCCCCTGTAATATAATTTTGTCAAAACAATAACAAATAAAAATATTAGGCAGCACAGAATATAATATTGTCTTAATATTTAATAAGAACTTCATATGTGTGTCTGTTTCTATGTATATTTACATCTTATATTATCTTAATAATAATGACTGCAAAACTACCAATCTCAAATCTCTACAATTTATTATATATATATGTTTATATATATATATATATAATATATATATATATTATATATATATGAATATATATATATATACACACACACACACACATGTCAATGTTCTTTCATCATTACTGTACAAATAAAGATGTAGATAAAAAAAAAGAAAGAAGAAAAAAAAAAGAAAAAAAAAAAGAAAAGAAAAAAGAATATATTGATATTTTATTTAGAAATCTTTATAATTTTTATTTAAACGTATTTTTAGATATCTAGTACATAAAATGTGGTATATGTATATATATGTATAAATATATGTATATATATGTATGTATATATATATGTATGTATATATATATGTATATATATATATATATATGTATATACATATACCAAATAGATTATTTCATTATCTGTTACAATTTATACTTTGTATTTTTAAATAAATTGTTATCTGAAATAAGCGAATAATAATATGTATATCACGAGCTCTTATCATTGATTTATAATAACTTAATCAATGTATGGTCTTACCATTGCAATTTAAGATTTTCTTGTCGTGCAATATAATATTGTATGATACTTGGTCGAAATTCAATCAATTAATAAGAGCCAAAATATCAAGATAACAATGATAAGCATAACAAACGAATTTAAAAAAAAAAAATAATCAACATTTAATATTTTTATCATCAAAAAAGGGAGAGAGAGAGAGAGGAAGATAGATATATATATATATATATATATATATATATATATAGATATATATATATATATCTATATATATATATATCTATAAGTATATATATATATATATATATATATAGAGAGAGAGAGAGAGAGAGAGAGAGAGAGAGAAAGAGATAGAAATGGAAAAAGAAAAGTATCTCTTCATAATAAAACTAATCATTGCAATAATATTTTAACCAATTATTTGTACGCAACATATAATTATAACGAAGTATAAATCAATCAAATGTGTGTAATAATATTCTGTAACAGAATGGAAAAAAAGAAAAAAAAAAAAAATGGAGGAAAAGAAAATTAGGTATGCGTTAAAACATGATTTTTTTTTCAAAAACAAAAAAAAAAAAAAAAACATTAAATTTTCTAAAAAGCATTTCAATAAAATGTAACATACAAACAAATATAATAACAACGTAATCGTAAAGAGCCATAAAAATTGAGCTCATTGAGAAAATTTAACAATGATAAATTTTTATTTATCGTTTACTGATTACTTTGAAATATATATATATATATATATATATATATATATATGTGACGGTGGAGTAGCGCTGCAAAAAGAAATAGAAAATTCTAAAGTATCTGAAAATATAGTTTCTCTAAGGAGTTATAATATATAATATAATGTTATCGCATCTCTGATCTCTCGGTCAAAGATAAAAAATGTACTTTCACATCGATAGCACGTGCGTGTTGCGAGAGAGAGATAAAGGAAAAAGAAAAAAAAAAAAAAAAAAAAAGAAAAAGAAAAAAAAAAGAAAAAAAAAAGCAATGTATGTCAGCACATCGTGTTCCAGCATTAAATCTGGCCCAGTTGGTAATTCCAGTTTGGCGTAAAGGTACACAACACAACACAACAGGGTTCCATGCGTATGCGTATGCTCTACATGAAAGGATGAAGGACTACTTTTTTTTTTTTACTAGACTTTCTAGGGCACTGAGGCTTTCTACGCCGTGGTGTGTCTTCTTTCGGTAATACCTTCAATATAAAAAAAATCACGCGATTGTGCTCCAAGGGACGTCGCCATCATTTTTATCACATGGGTGTCTCTTAATCTCTCCTCGATGATTATGATAATGATGATGATGATGATGATGATGATGATGATGATGATGATATTGATGAGGACGTGATGAAACGAGCATGAAAGTTCTAAAGCACGAGCATTAGCATTTAGAATGAAGGCCCTTTATTCAGGGGCCTTTAGCAAATCCTAGGCAAGCTCTCTCTTTGCCTTAGCCTCCGCATAAAACTGTGTCGTTGCGTTCGTTGCATTTACAGCACTCGAATGGAAGTGCCGCGTGAGGATGTAGACTACGGCTTCGTAAGTTGCCATTATTATAGCAGTATTTGGGATCTGCCTTATTAAATGAGTTCCAAGTCCACGATATAAACCCTTTGTTCCTTCCTCCATATATACGGTGTTCAACGTTTGTAAGAAGGTTTGATATTTTGTACCTTCCTCGCGCAAACGTGTTCTTGCCACTTCTAAAAGATAAACAAAAAAGAAATCTCGTCAGCATCCGCAATATATATATATATACATAAAATACATATATACATATATCTTATGTATCAAGAGTTTTAATTGAGTAACACTTAATTTCAATCTTTTCTTTCCTTTTTTGTTTATTTGTTTTGTTTGTTTTTTTCTTTTTTTTTTCTCTCTCTTTTTTTTTTCAAGAAAAGTATGTAATAATATACTCCTTGTAAATGCGATACATGGAAGGTAAGAGAAACAGATAACTACTCTGTTGATTACGATTGGATTTTTTTTTCCTTCTTTCCCCCTTTCATTTTACTTTTTTCCTTTCATTTTTTTTTTTATCATTCGAGCAACCAGTTTTTAGTCGCGTATAAAAATGAAATATACGAGGTTTGCCTAGATTACAAATCACTACTACAATTTCTTTCATTATTTCTTTTATCTTTTATTTTAATGGCACACACTCGTTGCTCGAATAACAGGATATATAGAAGTCCAACTTAATACGTAATTGCTCGTTGAATGGTTGGCACGCGAAATATATAGGCTCGTACTATTTTTAGAACAATTGGCAGAATCTTGTTTACAGTCGTTTACAAAAGTGACAGATGAGAAAGACAGTTTAAATGTTGTATACATCAAATGGGTATATTGTAATAATAAATATAACAACGAACGGTACAAAATCTAATCGGTATCATGATCTCTTCTGAAAAATATTCATAAGTTACGTAGATATCCTATATTCTTTTCGAAAAAATAAAAAAAAAATTCAATATTCTCTCAAGATTTTATGGTAATTATTACGCAATGAGTGATCAAGTTACAAGATAATTATGCAATAACGTTTATACAATTGAAATATATACTCAGTGAGTGAGATCATTTCAATTTGTTTTATCTGCAGATACTTAATTTCCAATTATACACAACTTCTTATAATATCGATAATAAATAAATATATATGTATATATATATATATATACGTAAGTTGAAATTCGAGGTTAGGATTTTATAGAAGCAAAATTCATGCAATGAATAATATAACGTAAGAACTAAAAAGTAAGAATCTAAAGGAAAAACACATTGACTCTAACATTAGTCTAAATAATTTTTGGCTGATTCAATTGGATGGAAATAAACTGAAAATAATTCTTAGGTAAGGAAACGTATTTACTCATATATGCAAATACGTACATAGATCAGCAGCCATATTGAAATCAGAGAATCTATTCCCGAAGCGCCAATTATTCCCAGATTCAAAAATTTATATTTTCTACTTTCATTTTAATTACTATTGTAATTATTGTAATTAAACGTTGTATTTCGACATTGTTTCTTTTTTTTTTTTTTTTTAAATCGATATTTAACTTCTGCTTTTTTTTCTTGCTATTTATTATTTTATTTTTTGTTTTCTCTTTCTTTTTTCTTACCGTGAGGATAAGCGATCGTTGATGCGACCGTTTTAGAGAACGAACCGGCTGCCATAAATTCTATAAAGTCACGTAAGGTTTTCCTGTCGTCCTCCCTTGAAGAAACTCTCGTCCTTGTCGCCACAAGCCATGCCTTTACAGCTTCGTAAATCACAAAGTGTATCACAGTCTCACTTATACCTACGTAGGACGCCATAATACCCTTATAAAATCCTCGTACACCCTATAAATGAAAGATACAAAAGGATAAAAAATAAAGTGTCATTAAAAAAAAAAAAAAAAAAAAAAAAAATAAGAATTAACTAAAAAATAAAAAAAAGTAAAAAATAAGAAAAATAAAAAAATAAAAAAAAAATGAATTGCTAAGAATAAAAATCAAGAGATGGCGCCAGCTTTGCCTTTTATAAATCTCTTTCTCTTTCTCTTTCAACGAAAATTAATCTCGAACTTTTATATTCTCAGCAACTCGTACAATTTGTCAGAGAAATGATATCATCTCGTCTTTCTTCGTAAAATAATTTTTATATGTAAATTTAAAGGAGACCTTCCGACGTGGTAGTTTCAAAAAAATTTGTCATAGGATTGACAGATTAATTTCTAAGAGAATTAACGTCGTAAATTACTTTCTTTTCTGGGACAATTACACGTATTATAGTCGAATGAACGATCACAAGAACTCTCTCAACATAATAACAAGCTGTTTCTCGACAAGGTCGTCTCCTTCGTCTTCTCTTCCTTCATCGTCATCATCGTCGTCGTCACCGGCATCTATGGAGTCCATTTATGATGAACTTGACAATGAGATTTCGTATAACACACACACACACACACACACACACACACACACACACACACACACACGTTGTGCAAAACGTATGTGTACATATAAACACATACGTATTACAGGTTCAACAGTATTACATATTTTAGAAAATAAGAAAGATAAAGAAAGAGAGAGAGATAGAAAGAGAAAGAACAATAACAAATGCAAAGATTACTTCGAAAAATAAATTGAGTTTAAAATTAGAAAGATTCGACTGATAAACGACACACACACACACATACACACACTAAGATCAAAACCATATTCCTTTATTTTTATTAATAATTTAAATTTAACATAGTCATATATAGATATTGGCAAATAAATATTTTTGTTAAACGAGACTATTGTCATAGATATGTGTTAATCTTAGAGATACATTAGCCAAGAGTATCTTCATTGTTTACCGTCTCGAAATATTCTCAGATACGAGTATTTACGATATAGGTTTGAAAAAATAAACTACTCCTTTAATATATGGCGCCTGTGCGATTAATAAACTGACATTATCTACGTGTCTGGTTTAATAGACCGGAAAGGATTAAAATTTAATCGAATTAATTTAACCGAACAAAATACCGGAAATAACAACCTTTCTAAAATGATTACAACCAATCGAAATGAATCGAACCAAATCGAAATGCAAATATGATCTGCGATAAAATAAACATCTTTAAATGAGGTTAATTTTTCAAGATGTCGCGGAAGGACAATAAACGCTTTCTAATTGGTCAAGACGTATACTTGATTTGAAACTATTGAAACATGGAAGCGATAAACTTCGAAACTTTTTAGATCAATTTATTTATTTATTTTTTTTTCTTTTTTAGATTCTGTAAAAGCTACAATGTGTAGGAACTTTTGACCTAAAGTTTAAATATATCAGTGTTTGTAAATAAATAAATAAATAAATAAATAAATAAATAAATAAATAAATAAATAAAAGCAGAAATATAAAAAGCAAACGAATAAAAACACGTAAGCACATACATATAATTAATTATTTAATAAATATATTGAAATTTTTATTTTGGCGCATATCACGCATTAATCCGAGATAATATAAAGATGCCCGCCTACCAGAGGCGCGTTTCGCAGTAAGTATTTTTGTCCCGAGTTACTATTCGTAGGTCGAAGAGACCATTTTAAAACCTGGCTCACGTCCGTCGACAATCTTATGTTGGCGTAGTATGCGCAATCCTGAGCAATAATACATATATATATATATATATATACATACACACACACATATATATATATATATATACACATACAGCATACACATTTTCTCTCGTGCGTTAAATTCCACGCGAAACTTAACGCGCTCGTGCGCACCTCTTTGAATTGCTTATTTTTTTTTAACTGTTTCCTGTCGAGACTCTTATCCAATCCCTTCCTCTTTTCCTTCACCTCTATCTTCGCGTATCATTATACCATTTGCCTTTTCTACTTTTTCGATGTGATTTAAATTAACAGTTAATTAAATGATAAAACGAAAAAAAAAAAAAAATGTTATGTTTCATCGATAATGTAGAACACATCTTACCTCTCTGTCTTTAACGTAATTATATTACCATAAAGAGAAGTTAAAATTTTTAATTTCTTCGAAATTGGTAAATCCAACGCGAGAGAACATTGATCGATTAAACGATGCTTGCCAAAAATATGAACGTACTTGATAGCACAAAAAGAACGGGGAAGGGGAAGAAAGGAGGAGGAAGAGGAGGAGGAGAGGAAAAGGGGAAAGAAAGATGTCAATATTTTTTTTTTTTTTAAGCAATTATCAAAGGATAAGACAAATATTGGCGAGGGTAAAGAGTGTGAATTAAAAAATAAAAATAGAAAGGAAAGAAAATAAAAACACGATTGGACATATTGTCGATGATAGAGAGTCGACAATTAAATAAAAAAAAGAAAAAAGAAAGAAAAAAAAACGAATACGACGCCGGCGATGACACCAATGACACCAATGACAACAATTTCTACTACTATTATTATTATTGTTATTGTTGTCGTTATTACTAACCTAATTTCGAGAGACTTTATTCTTTTTCTTTTTCTTTTTTTTTTAAATATTTGCACAAAAAAAAAAAAACATCAATGAAGAGAAGTGTTTATCTTACCGACTGTCGATATATCCTCCGCATACATTCTACCGCAGTGATTTTGTTTGTTCGATGATCCAGCTGAAGTCTGGTTTTGACAAACCAAATAGGATTTGTCAATGTGCACGCCACGAAACCTATAACGATATTAAAATAACACGTTGCATTATCAAAAATTTTCTTTTTTCTTTTTTTTTCCTTCCTTCCTTCCTTTCTTCTCTACCTTCCCTCCTTTTTAATTTACATGCATATATTATGTACTTTTGCGTCTTCTTTATGCAAGGAAAGACATACAACTAACTAAATTCTGGCAAAATCGATCGAAGGACATTATTATATGTATCGTGTTAATCAAGTGCCAAGTTCTAAATTCAAAATTCCCGCAAGAGAATTCTATCGAAAAACAAATCGACCTTAAAAGTATCATTTATGTGGGAAAAAAAAAAAAAAAAAAAGAAAAGAAAAGAAAACGGACAAAAAGAAAAAATAAAATAAATAAATAAATACTATTACATCATCCTATATCGATCTATTTTCAACATAATCGATATCCTGCTAACCACGAGTTCGTATATTGGTTGGAAAACATTTAGATTGAAGTTATCTCGTAAAAGCTTTTATATATTTATATACACTCACCCACACGCACGCACACATACACATAAATGATGTTTGTCAATTACTTAGATTGTTATTTTCATAATCCTTTTATCATCTAAGTGTATTTTGTTATTAAATATCCCTCAACATAAAGATAGCCAAACATTCATGTATGTATAATATTACATAGTATCTCATTATTCCATATACCAAAATATATGTACATATATATATATATATATAAACTAGATTTTATGATAGAGTTCTAGATACTATCTAACTTTTAACGAAGATTAAATTGTCCTTATCCTTTTCCACTTAAACGAGAACGTAACATAAATCAAATTTTCAATCGAGCTAAGTTATTATATAGATAAGCTGTTCTATCGATCAAACTTCAACAATTTAAAATTGAGTAAATTCACTTCGAAGTTTTTTTTTTTCTTTTTAATTTTCGGTCGATTAAATTTCGTCGTCATTCACCGATATTTTTCTTTTTTTTTTTTTTTTTAAATAGCTGCAATAAAAAAATAAAAACAAAAAAAAATAAACCCAAAATGAAACTCCAACTTGGTATAACTTTAAACAACTGCATAATGTGAGAGTTGTTATGAATTGATAATTTTTTTTTCTTTCTTTGCAAAAGTAAACATGGAGAATTAAGAGATAGAGGTTTCTGATATAACTTGCTCTTCCCAACCCACCCCTGTTTTCCCCTCCCGAATTTATCACTGTCTCCGGGACATTTGTATAATATTTACAGATACGAATTTAAACAAACATGCGCGCGCGTGTCTGTGTGTACATATATATATATATACACACACACACACAGATACACACACATTCGTTACATAATTTACAACTTGACAAGAGACCATCGGAGACAATCGATAATATCTAAAAAGACGACATCGAGAGTCTCATACATATGAGCTTGCGATTATTCGACATAAGATACAATTCCACTACATTACAACTACAACGACGGCGACGCAACTTACAAAGCTAGCTTTTAAAGCTAAACGAGAGAGAGAGAGGGGGAGGAGAGGAAGATAGATATAGATATAGATACATAGAGAGAGAGAGAGAGAGAGAGAGAGAGAGAGAGAGAGAGAGAGCTGGCCTGTGTCTCTTGGAGCAGTCCCATTGACCCAGTTTGCGGCCGACCACAGGAGCAATGCACCATACATATATAGATACATACACACACACATAATATACAAATGCGCATATACATACTAATACCCACAAAACCTGTCATGCTCTACCTATAATAATCCTTTTGTTTTGCTTTGTAGTGTCTTCTTTATCATTGCATTGGTGATATATTAGTATTATGTTATGCAAATCATAATATTGCACATGCATGCAATTTGATGCAACGACGAAGAAGAAGAAGAAGAAGAAGAAGAAGAAGAAGAAGAAGAAGAAGAAGAAGAAGAAGAAGAAGAAGAAGAAGAAGAAGAAGAAGAAGAAGAAGATGATGAAGATGAAGAAGACGAAGAAGAACGAGAAGAATTATCGTCGTCTTCGTCGTAGTCGTCATTGTAAAAATGTTAATAAAATATCAACAAACAATTTACAATAGTTATGCATCTTGATTTGTAATGTTATTTATATTATTTATAACTCATATCATTTATTTTATATTATTATAAATAATAATACGCGTCTCATATGAGTAATTAAACGAATATCAAAAACGTTCTATTCATTTATACATTAGATTAATTAGATCATCAAAAAAATTAGTAAAGCATTAATACAAAGTAACAATATATATGTGTGTGTGTGTGTGTTTATATACACATATTCATATAATCTACCTGCTTAGTGTAGATAAAGTAAGACAGGTCAGGGACGAAAGAATAGAGATAATAAAGAGCTAGTAAATACGACAAATTTACGACGTAGCCTATTCTAATCTATTCCGATGGCAACAGAAAAATATTTCTCGTTTGATGAGAACTTGTGAATCTTCATAAACAATAGTTAATAAATAAGTACTAATACCAGTATGTAGTTAACGGGTCGTTGTCCTTGTAAAACAATTAATTTTCAATTTAATTAAACGATCATTTCTCATTGATTGAAACTTGATTGAAACTTGATCATAATTACGCCAATTTAGTATATTTATTTTTTATCTCGTTTCTTTTATCACGAAAGGGGGAGAAGAAAAAAGAAAAAAAGAAAACGATAATACACACACACACATACACGTATAGCAAGCTTAAAATTCTTTAGGGAAGCCGCTAATTTCCTTCAAGCAGAGAATCCCTTTTTTTCCCTTACTACTCCTAACTTCTATTTACGACCTCATTTTATTATCCGTCTTATTCACGTGCAACCCAATTGAAAATAAACTCGATTCCAGAGGCACGTTGTCCGAACGATCTACGACGCATGTGATATATGTATATGCATCTTATTATCGGGGATAACACGCTAAGGGAAGTTCAATTGCGAGCATGCAAACGAAACCGTATGTGTGCATATATGAACAGGCACCATATACAAATACAAATGTACAAGCAGGCAGAGAATATATATGTACATATGTATGTGTGTGTGTGTGTGTGTGTGTATGTGTATGTGTGTATATATATACATATTTAGAACTAATATAAAGAAAGAAATAATTTCAACGTGCCATCACGAAGGAATATAGATAACTTTTACTGAACAAATTGTTTTCAACGTTATATATATATATATATATATATATATAATATAATATAATATAATATACGTATATATATATATATATATATATATATATATATATATAAGTATGTAGATATTAATAGTTGTTTCTTAACGATCATTCAATGTGTTCAATCGACTATCCATGGGCACGAAGAAGTCGAGCATGAAAAGAAACTTTCCGATCAATCGTTTCACATCTGCTGTGAACTTTGATAACTAATTGTAAATAAGCTTTGAGGTGTATAACAGAAACACAACCAAAATCGTGATGTTCCGTATAATACAATTTTTTTTTCCTTTTTTTTTTTTTTTTTTTTTTTTTTCCTAATAAATTACACGATGTTCAAGTTATGGTATTGTCTTTTTTATATAATATATAATCGTACTATACGCAATTATTAATATACACCGTTCTAGTATGATTTATGCTATTACAGGTGCATTATAAATAAATTTTTACAAAATTGAATTATATTTATAATTCAATATTATAGGATCTATCTTCTCATTGAGATAATAATCTTGAACGAACTATTACCGAGTTAAAACAACATCTATTACTTGATAAAGCTTGAATAAGTTAGATAGACCTCCTTGTGTCAAACATTGTTCATTATCAGGGATTCTAAAAATAAACATCACCATTCGTGTGCATTATCTTTTGCAGAGGACGTGTTGATAACGGAGGAAAGAAAAAAAAATCAGAATCAAAAATTTTGAGAATTCTCACAAGAGAGTTAGATTCGTGATGAACGAAGAAGAAAATTTTCAAGAGAGAAAAGAGAAAAATAATTTCTTTTTATCACGAACAACTACATTGAAAAAGAAAACAGATCTCCTCACCATTAATAACGATATTAATAACAATAAACAGAAGAAAACAAAACAATTGTCATAAATTTAATCTCTGATTCGATAAAAATAAAAAAAAAAAATCCCGAAGCAAAGAGAAGAAATACTCGATGGCGTTTTTTTATCTCTCTCTATTAATTTTACATTACACAGCATTATCATACCGTACGAGTGCACTGATAATCATGCGAAAATTTATCGACGATAATAAATTTATTGTCCCTCGATTGGCGTTTAGTTGTTATTAGTTGCTAGTAAATACACGGCATTCGACACTGACACTATGTACGAGAGAGGGAGTGAGAGAGGGGGGAAGGAGGGTATTGAATTACAGCCAAACAGTAGTCAATATAAAAATAGAATCTAATGTTTTGTGAATGTACATACAAATACACATACTCATTCACTCATTCTCACTCTTTCCTCCCCCTTCTCTCTGACGGTCGTTGTTCCTGACCCCAAAGAAGATGAGAAGTCTGGGGTAAAAAGAAAGAAAGAAAAAGAAAAAGAAAAAACCAAGAAAGAAGAGAGTTAGGTGAGGGGGAAGAGAAAAGTGGGAGAATAAAAAAAAAAAAAAAAAAAAAAAAAAAAAATTTGTGGATATAGGATAGTTTGGATTCATTTTCTAAATTGATCTGAGAAGGATCTCCACTATATTATGAATTATATACTCGTGTTCTATAGACAGGAAACTAAGTGGGAGATGAGTGGCGAGCGGTGAAGAGACAGAGGGAGGAAAAGGAGGGGAAGGTGGTTTCAAGGTGACCCACAGCTAGTTGGTAAACAAGCGAGTAAATAGTATCTACCCGGGGGGGAATCACACACGCATAATACGAGATCGATATAGATCCCTATTTTCTAAATGTGTGTTGTGTGCACTCTTCTTCCCTCTTCTCGTTCTCTCTTTCTCTCTCTCTCTCATGCACTCATACACATACACACATACACACAGAGCAGCAGCAGCGCAAGCATGCTTGCTTATCTAAATGTCCATTGTATTCTTATTACAAGGAAGAAGAAGAGATTGTATAATATAATAAGATCAAATTTTAAATCATGCGTGTCTTCTTTTTAGAACATGTATGTATGGTAGTATGTATGTATATTTAGAAAGGTGGTCGAACGAAGACGAAGAATTATGACGAATTCGAACACATCATTGTAACGATAAAATAATAATGATATCGAATCAAACATTGGCGCCACATTGCGCTCTTCTATCTCGTATCTCTTGAATTTTGTCTATCTTTTTTTTTTTTTTTTTTTTTTTTTTTTTTTTTTTTTTTTTTTTTTTTTTTTTTTTTGAATATCTTGCGTTAAAAATACAACGATCGTTTTTGTGTTTTTATTTTGTTATACGGAACGATACAAAATTTCCTAAATGATTTACAAAAAAAAATTCAAATACTCTTCTTCGAGACTCCATTTAAAACAGGCTAAAATTTCTTTTTTTCTCCTCAGATCGTAAAACTACAAAGTCTAAGAATTTTTGGCCTAAATTGTATATATTATATATTATCTTTGAATCAAATATATTATATTTGTTTGTATTATCATAGATCAGAGAAACGATAATTTCTTTGATAATTTCTTAAAGGAAAATGAATATTGAATAATAAAAATCGAGGTCATTCGATAAGGAATTTGGAATTTGATATTATTAAACGTAACTACGTAAATCGGTTTTTTTTTTTTTTTTTTTTTTTTTTTTTTTTTTTTTTTTACAACATATCGTACGATAATTATATTAATTCTGTTGAAATTTAAATATGATGAAAAAATAGTTATAAAAAATTGAAATTACGAAATTGTAATCATAAAAAGATCGAAGATAATTTTCATGAGTTAAAATTAAAGGACCACGTTTTTAAGAAACGAAATGAAATGCCTACGTGACCATCCGCACGTGTCAAAAGGGAAAGGGAAGGGAGGAAAGAGAGGAAAGAGAAGAGGGAACGTGGAAATGAGGGCAAACATATTCTCTATCATAAACTTCTCGAATTAGTTTCTTCCAATGGTTCTTTCTTTCTAATGAAAAACAAAATTAATCATGAAGATTAATGATTATAACTACGTTTCAGTTATAAAGTCCATTGTAATAAAAATCAAAGAGCATAGATAAATAAACAGAAATAGATAAATGAAGGAATTAAATCGACGGATGAATGACTTATCGATTATTTTTTATCAATGAACTATAAACAAAGATCAACAATCTGAATAAATGAGATAATAACACTGAGCAATCATTTCCTTCTCCTCCTCCTTTCTCCTCTCTCCTCTCTTTTTACATTAAAAATTTCTCTCTTGAAAATTCTCAAATAGAATTGCAATTGTTTCTTTTTATAATTAATCGATCAATATAATTGAAACGAAATTGCAAATCAAATGTTCATATTTATTTCGTTGCCGTTACGATTGTTCTTATAATCAAAACAAAATTATAATATCAATCTTTTTGTTAATACTATTTCTTAATAGTATTTCTTAACGTTAATAGTATTTCTGTTGATAAATGGAATAACTAAATAAATAAATCAAAGGAAAAAAAAAGAAAAAAGAAAAAAAAAGTTGAGGGATATAGGGAAAAAATTTGTGGCCCTCCCGCGGAGATGATCTCCGACGGAGGCAATCTCATTCCAGGTTAAAGTTCAATTTTATCCGTCGAAAAAGTACAGATAACTTATGTATATTGTCTCCGCTAATAACACTGTCTTATTAAACGATGACGTACGAAGGAACGGGACAGCGAGAGGGAGAGTTAGGAGAAGAGTTTATTAATAGAAAATCATTGAAAAAACTTTTGTGGTTTTTATCGAATTGTTCGATTTCTAATAATAGAAATAAAAATGGAAAAAATGAATAAATAAATAAATATATATATACACATAAGACACATATGTTACTAGAAGCATCTATTTTCAATACGTTGTCTCTTATCAAACGTTGTCTTATCGATGAGATTATCGCCAAAAATAAAAAAGTATTTTTAATAAAATATTAACACTGTTACGAATTAACCTAATCATATTCAATCTATTTTTACGGATTGGTTAAGAAATGTTATATCTTTATAAATGAATCTAATCAAATTCAATATATTTTTTTATAAATTTCCTAAGAAATTATTAAAAAAAAAAAAAAAAAAAAAAAAAAAAAAAATTAAAGATTCGATCAATTTACCATTTAATCGATATTTTAAATTAATAATACGCAATCAGTTTGAATCGAACGACTAATGAAGGTTATCAATGTCAGTAAAGATCAGAATATATCATAATTATAAACTGGATATTTGCGGTAGTATGATGAAGAATCCATTGTGAGTGGGTGTGTGTGGGTGTGTATGTGTGAGAGAGACAGAGAGAGAGAGAATGAATGACGCTTGTGAATGCACTCTCTGCCTACTATTTATCTATTAAAAATAAATAATAAAAAGTAAAAAGAAAAAAAAAAAAAAAAAAAGATAAATTATATGACAAGAAACAAGATAGAATGAGAAAGAAAAGACTATATGCTCATTAACTACCACATGTTGTTTCTTGTAATAAACGTATTCCTCTTAATAGTTAAATAAATTCCTCGACCTATCCTATATATATTAACTTTTTTCATTTCTTTTCTGTAATAAAACACTTATTACCAGTTATCACTGAGAATACCTGACAGATTGAGAACACGTTTCAATATATGATTATTATACACATACATATATAATACGTATACATACATACATACATACATAATATGTATGTATGCGTGTATTAAGAATCGTTATTGGTTAATTAAACTGACGAAGTCGTTTGATATTCCGGTGCCGTTCCGAAAACTAACCTAAAATATTTTTGCTATATAACTATCTTCTTTTTTATTAAATTATACGCTTGTTTAAACGTATATATGTATATTTATTTTGTGTACATATTTACACACACACACACACACACACACACAAATGGAATTTAATTTTTTTTCTTACCAGCGCAAAATGCCGAAAATACATGGACTATCGGAGTGTCTGGAGGTAGTATTTTATTAAAAGCAATTTTGCTTTTCGAATATGCACAAAAGTAGATCGCTCTGGAAGGTGCTACACCAACGAGATTTGGACCAAGACCCTGGAAAAGGGCACGTACACCCTCGTTCTTAATGATATACCTTATACACTGGTAAATACCGGGAGTCGGATAAGCATGTGGACCAGTACCCGATGGTGTCGACACACCACAATGGGAGAGAGCCAGGAAGGAGCACCTGTAAAAGAAAAATAAAAAGAAAAAAAAATAAATAAATAAATAAAAAAAGAAAGAAAATAAAAAAAAATAAAAATAAAAATTAAAAATTAAAAAGATAATCAAAAAATGTTCAATCGCGATTTTAGTTAAGACAAGTTCAACATTCGATTAAGGTCTTTTTGGTATTCTACTTTGATGTAGAAAAATTAGATATAAAAATAATAATTCATATAGGTTATGTGTACTGATAGGTTAACACATCTATGTTATTTCTAAATTCTTTTTTCTTTCATTTTTTATTCATTGATAATTCTGCTCTTGTTTATAATGAAAAGTTAAGAGTAATGTAAAAGATATATATATATTAGTCAGTAGTTTATATATAAAATTATTATTTTTCGAATTAAAATTTTTATATGAAAAATACAATCTTAATTATCATCGATAATACATTTATATGTTTTATTACATCATATGATTTCTAGATCTTTCAAATTAATGCTAGATATTCATATATATATATATATACATATATATAATACATACATATATAAATACATATATAGTTATTGCAGGTTATGTACATATAGGTTAAGATATTTATAATTTTGAAATTTTTACCTTATACAACATTTAATTTATTTACTTATGACAAAATTAATTAGGTCACTTATATGAGATAATTATCATGTATTTCGATAAAAGAAAATCTTACTTATTAACAAAAATTGCACATCAGTTTATATAAAAAATTCGATGTTAACCTATATCGTAACAGTTAAGGATTGTTTTTATAATCACCTTGGATATCCTCCTGTACACAATCTCCTCCTTTGTTCCGGCGTTGGAAAACTCTTACACGTGACATGACCGGACGTAAATTCTTTATTCACTGGTGGCGGTTGAAAACCAGACGAAGATGATTGTAAACGCGTCTTAACCACTTCGAGAGGACAGGTCACTATGGCTCCTGTTGTACCAGCAACACTGTACTCAACAAGAACAACAAACAAACGAAAATAAAAAATAAAAATAAAAATAAAAATAAAACGAAAATATTACGTGTCTGTTCATTTTCTATAGAACGAAATCGTTCAGTTTCTAATGTTTACTTCGAGAGAGAGAGAGAGAGAGAAAGAGAGAGAGAGAGAGAGAGAGAGAGAGAGAGAGAGAGAGAGAGAGAGAGAGATCTCAACAAGATGTAAACAAGAAAAATAATATGATTTTCTAAGAACGTAGTATGAAATTACGACGATGATTATCAACCTCAAAACATGATCTTCAAAGTACGATATAAAAAGTATATCAATAATAAATCTTTCGATAATTTTTCGTTCAGATTGATAAAACAAATTATATCATTTCGATGTTGTATTGAAATGATAATATAAATAATAGTTGTTAGATGAATGTTAGTGATTAAAATATTTCATAGACTGAAAATAATAAAGAGACATTTCTATGAGAAGACCTGACATCGCGTCAAAGTTATTTACTACAAGCTATAAATGTATATGTTAATGTATACGAAAGGAAACGACCGATAAACACGACATTATGTAGTATATATATATATACACATAGTGTACAAAAAAAGGATTACACGTTCAATATATTTGTTAGATATAAAACCACTTTTACATGCCAAATTCTTACATATATTATTATATCATTTTCGATAATAAACGAAAAATTATATTTTATATATATATATATATATATATAGGCCTACTTTGAAGTAAATATATTTAATTTAGAATATATGTGTGTAGAGATAATCCTTTTTTAGGAGGGGAAAAAAAAACATGTACATATACGCAATAAATACCGCGTGTTCAAAATAATGCGACACCATATATAAAATATTATGGCGAATTTTGAATTGTGATTGGCCCGCACAAATAACAGATGATCATACACATACGTTCGTACAATTCGTCTTATCGCTAAATTTTAAACAAATTTTTGAACAGATCATTAATTTCTACGATCCACGTGTTGCGTAATGTTTTTTTTTCTCTCTTTCTCTCTTTACTTCCCGCCCCCTACGAACCACCCACGATGATTCGTTCGATTCGCACGATTGGTTCGTTGACCGATAGATTATGTTTAAAGTTGCGATTTTTTATCACGATAAATAAGATTCCTCCTCATTATAAACGAGCTCACCGAGATAGTGATAGATTGAAAAAATCGACGTAAACTTTTCTAGAATATATAATACTAGCTTACGTAAAGATATTTTGAGAATGATTACATCTAATTAAAAATTTCCTTTATTCATTACTTTCTTTTTTCCCCCATTTTCTTTTTCTTTCTTCTATGAAAATAATATACGAATTAATATATATTGCAAATAATAATGAAAAATCTAACCTAACCTATATCAATCCAATATTTATGTCGAGATCGAAATCAACGAAACGAACAAATTTATAGATTAAATTAATTAAAATATTCAATTACACGAATGATTAACAAAATAAATGATTATACTTGTAACGAGGACATCGAAACGATTATATAGATATTTATTAGTCATTTATAATCTAAATATGCAATTCTTATTAAGCCGGTTAAATAAAGCTGCATGCGCAAGTACAACGTAGAAACGCATATTGAACAGCAAACGGTAAATCTTCAAATTACTAAAAAAAAAAAAAAAAAAAGAAAAAAAATAAAGAAAAAAGAAAAGAAAAAAAATAAAAAAGAATAAAATTTTCAAATAACATATTACGAAGCTAATACAATAATTTAAAGTATGTATGTATGTATGTGTGTATGTGTGTGTCCGTTTTTCGGCGTTACGAAACGAATGATGAAATAATATTAGGCAAAATTGTTTGCAAGCGCAATTCGGTACTACATGCACTTATGTCTTTCTAGATATGTAAAAGTTAATATGCTGAATAAGGGAAAAAAAATAAAAAAATAAAAAAGAGAAGAGGAAAGAGAGACCGGGTCAGACGTTATGTTTCGGAATGTAATAACCAATCAGATCGTTCGATTCACGCGAACGAGTTGTTCACACTGCGCAACAGAATGCATCGTATGTACATACGTATACACAACACATACACACACATATGTAATGTGAAATGCGTATGTTAACCCTGACGATTGAATATGAATGAATAACGAATGATTGCTAATGATTCGATTATAATCAAGAAATATATTTATATATAACGCAATAAAAGTTTTATGAGAAAATTGATAAGAGAATGTCATTTTATTAGATCTAATGAGTCGATAAAACTCACCCTCCGGCAATGAGATGTATCGCTGTGTCGCGATCAAACATCCTTCTTAGAAACGAATTCGGTAACTTAACAATCTGGGTATCATGTACTTTTGTAATAATGATAAATGGAAAAATTTGATGTATCAAAAAAAAAAGAAAAAAAAATAAAGAATTACAAGTAGAACTAAATCGCTCGAACAACAATCACTTTTTCACCAAAACGTTCTTACAAATCTCACTGATGATTTATGATAATTATCTCACACACCTTACAGAAATATTTATCTGATATCAGCTTTTAACACGATGTCGACCGTACACGAGGTACAAAGCAAATTAATAACATTAAATTAACCGCACACGAGCAAAACTACTGTAATGTACGACCGTTTCAAAACAACTGACTGGTGCGCACTACGTTTCATATGCCGCAGCTCCTTCCCCTCACCGCGCGCCTTCGATTAAACGAAAGAACGTAGAGTGGGAGAACTTGCCGGGTTTTGATTTGCCAGCAGAGAGCGCTAATGATGCGTCTTATCAAATTCAAAAACACGAGTTTGTTTTATGTAAATTTCTTTTTTATTTTTTCGTTTTTTTTTTTACTTATATCGTTACGTACGAATAAATAGATTAAGAATTATTGTAAAATACTTAAAATACGTAATAAAATTATTAATCAAATATTTCTCCCTTAGATTTTGTACAATGAATAATGTTATTACGTGTAATAAAAAAATAAAGATGGTTTTCTTCTTTTTTTTTTTCATTTTTTTTTCATTTTTTTCATTTTTTTTCTTTTTTTTTTTTTTTTATTGCTCCAACACATCATCTTTCTGCTTTTCGATTGCATAATGCATTGCTCTCAAAAATTGAGCCAATGTAGATTTTTTTGAATGTATAAAAAGAGCTTTTGCTAAAAATGGTATTTTTTTTAATGTACGTCCACTTAGTCCATAACTTTGTTTACTGATTTCCAATAGCATTAAACAGCGCTTTGTCTCATAAGTTTCTTCGTAACCATGAGCTTTAAGATAAGCAAGATTAAATAATTGTTCTTGTTCTATCAATCCAGTCTGAAAATTTTTAACGATACTAATGTAATTTTAACTATTGTAAATATATACGAAATTATTATATAATATAAATATTAAATCAAATACCCTCATTAATTCTTTTATACAGGCACTATATATTTTGTATATAGAATCTTCTGTGGGATGACCGATATATTGTTTTATATCTGCACGGTCTACAAATGCTAAATCAATAGCTTCAGTCATGTTACTTGTTGTAAGAATTAGAACATTTGGATAATGTTTCATTTGATCCAATTGGGTAAGTAAAGCATTTACTACACGTATGGAGTCTGTAGGTTCAGTACCATTAACACAGGATTTACGAACATGTGCCAATGATTCTACTTCATCGATTAAAATACAAACTAATCGATTAGAATCATTGTGAAGAGTTTTAAGCTCATCAAATAATTTCATTACCAATTTTCCGCTCTGAAATAGAATAAATTTTTTTATAAGATATGTTTTCTTACATAACTTTTCATTCTTAGGTCAAGATCAGATAAATAAAAAATTTACCTCAGAGAACCATTTTGAAAATAAACTGTGGCTATTTATTTCTATTAAATGCACAAATGTAAAACGATGTCCAAAACGAATTGCAATTTTTTGTGCCAGTGCTTTACACAAGCTGGTCTTTCCACTGCCTGGTGGTCCATGTAGTAATACTACTTTATTCCATGATATAATATTAGGATTTATTTTATTATCAGAAAATATTACTGCTGTTTCCACAAAATTTAATAACTAAAATAATAATATTAGTTAAAACAAATATATTTAAACAAAAGATATAAGAATACGTGCCAAGCCTTACATTTTGCTTTATATCTGAATCATAATACATGTTTTCCCACAAATAATGAAATTCTTTAGAAGGTAAAAGCCATTGATTTGCCGCTGGTAATTCTTCATTACCATTTTCTATCATTGACATGGCTGATTCACTTTCTGTCATTCTATATATGTGATATTGTAAATTGACTCCAGCAATTTTCATACGAGTTTTCTAAAATACATAAGCATTATCAAAAAAAAAAAAAAAAGGAAGGAAAAAAGAAATAGAAATTAGTCTAAATAATAATGATACAATTACTTATTGAAATGTTGAAACATACTTCATGATTACAGGCACATGATACAGATTCAATATGATCTTTAGCATGAGTAAATAAGACATCCGGTAATTCTACATCTAATAATACTTCCTCCAATTCTATAATTTTATTATGTACCATTGCTCGTATTTCCTCTTCTGACAATACACTGAGGGAAAAGAAGATATATATATATATATATATATAAAGATAAATTGTGTGACAATAATCATTTACAAAAAAATTAATAATAAAATAAACAATTAATTATAGCCTTAAAATGTTTTTATAAATTGATATATATATATATATATATAAAAGTTTAATAAAAAAAGCCCTGTACAAATGTTGCAAATAGAAAATGACAAATATAATAAATAATTTTAAGATTGTTCTTACCTCTCAGATTTTTGTAAGATTTCAATATGTAATATATCAGTTGCATCCATCGTTTATTATTATTATTTTATGATAAACGTTATTCAACTTATTAAAAATATTTCACTTTTGATAATAAACACCGTAATAGAAATTATCGATTACAACAAACAATGCTATTATTGTAGATGATCGATTATAAACTATCCTTTGTTCTCTTCCTTCTTATGCCACCTTGTCCCGTTCTTTTCTGTTACTTTTAAACCGCAAGTTCAAATTCATCGCGCACGGATCAAAATGTGTTAGACAAGGAGAAACAATGAATGAAAGCATAGTCCAATTGGTGAAATGAAAAGAGAAGGAAAAAGAGATAGGAGTGGGGATAGAGACACGTGAAGTTTGAACGCAAAAGACATTAGGTCTCATTCGCAAGCGTCATTTACGTAAGGAAGCGTCATTTTTCTCTTCGTATAATTAAATTATTTAATACGGATATTATTTTATTCGATGAATATCGACATCGCGATTTAATTATTTTCCAATTGGGGAACAATTTTTAAATAATATTTTTTATAGTCGTCGTTTTTTTTTATCACCACCGGAAACGCATCTAGATTGAATAACTTCGTGATTTTATTGGACGCCAGGGAGTTCATATTTTTATAAAATAAGCAACGGATAGAAGGAACCTAACGGATTTAACTCGACGAGCGTAGTGTGACAAAGAAAATGTTATTTGAAATGTAGTTAATCTAATTGTGACAAATTGTTACTTAATAAGTAACAATTAATGTAATTAAATATATAAAAAAAATTGTTCGTTAATAGGTAATAAAATTTTAATTAAATGAGCAGTATGTCGGAGGAAGATGAACGTAGAAAACGTTCATTGGAAGCTGGGAGAGATTTGGTATGTTTATAAAAATCATAATTTATTTATTCTTCCTTTTCTTTTCTTTTTCTTTTTTTTTTGGCGAAGACAACCTTTTTGTCGTTGTATGAATATATCTTTTGTTGCCTCATAAAAAACATTATATCTATAAGAACACATATGAATAATGCGTTTGAAATAACGTTATCTTTTTATAATTTTGACATTTGCTTCAAAAATTATTAAAATATTTGTAATGACAATAGAATCAGGAACATAAGGAATATAATAAGATCAAGCTCCATATATTTGATCTTTTAATTGAATTATTTCAGTTGGAAAAATATAAAATAGCACGGTCAAATAAAACACAAGGAATGCATTATGTTCAGACAGATGAACAGTCTGATGAAGAATCTTATCATAATGATAAATCAATGGACCAAAGAGGATCTTTTGTAAGATTAAATTTGTTTATTTTCTTTTAACATTTATATTCTTTATTACAATCTGATATGTGTATTTGTGCGTGTATATATTTTTGACATCTTTATGTATTATAAGTGTCATGTATTTTATTTCTTTTTTTTTTTTTTTTTTTTTTTTTTTTTTTTTCTTATTATGATCTATTTTAGATAAATGAAGTTATGTCTTCGAGAGATATAACACAAAGTAGCGTTAGTATGAGCGAAGGTGAAGCTGATAGAGATTTAGAGGGTATGGCAGGACGTGTAGCTGAATTAGAAGAACTATTGCAAGGGAAGGAAGCCATTGTAGCAGCATTGAATGCAGAAATTGATCATCTTAGAGGAGAAACATCTTCTCCGAACTCTTCGCAAAGTCATAATAGCAGTATTCCTAGTAGAGATGTAATATGTTTATATCATACGAAAGTAAGCCAAAATTAAATATTAGATTTAAATGAAAATTTAATTTAATTAATATGTTATTGAATAATTCATTTATTTATTGTATTTGAATATCTTATCGAATAGTTACAAGAATTTGAAAAAGCAATAAATCAAAGAGATAATTTAATAGAAGATTTGACATCTTCCTTGGAACAAGCATTGTCTGCAAGAGATGCACTTGTGGCACAACTTAATTCTTTAAATTCAGCAAGAGAATCTAGCCCAAGAGGCATGCATAGTATAAATTTACAAGAAAAAGTGAGTTAAATATTTTTTTTTTCTTTTTCTTTTTCTTTTTTTCTTCTTTTTCTTTTTTTTTCCTGAATCATTGTTAGTTAATACTATAAGAAATATTTTCTTCTTTCTAGATCGACATGTTAGAAACTACTTTAACCAATCAAAAAACTGTCATAAGTAAATTAAATTCTCAATTGGCACAAATTCATAAACATGTTCAGACATTAGAAATGGAAAAGGAAACGCGAAATGCTGAGATTAGTGATTATAAAATACAAATTAATAATTTGAATGAACAAATTCGCGTTGGTGCTGCTGAAAAAAATTTAAACATTGCAGAGATGTTGGAACAACAAAAGCAATATGAAGCACGCGTTGATAAAATAAAACAAGATATGCAACATATTTTAGAGAAATTTACAGCTGAAACCAATACAAATACTGCTAGACATCAGCAGGAAATAAAGGTTCGTTTATGTATATATATATATATATATATATATATATATATATATATATATATATATATAAAGTATCTTCAAAATATATTGAATGTAATAGTATGTATCATTTAAATAATATGCTTTTAATACTTCTCTTTAGGATTTATCAATAAAACATGAAACTGAATTAAAAAATATTTGCGTGAAATATGAGGAACAATTGCAGTCATTGAAAGAAGAAAATAAATTATTAGCTGATCGTTTAAATAAAGAATTACCAGATTTAGAAAGTAGACATGCCAAAGAATTATCAGTTTTTCAAGCACAGTTGGCACATTATAAAAAAACCGTTGAGACTTTAAAACTTGAGTTGGTAAACCGTTCAGAGGCTCAAAATAGAGCTCAAGCTGAAGCTGATATGTTTAATTCCAAATTTGAAGAGCTTCAAGTACAAGCAGAGAATAACCGTCGCTTGCAGGAACTAAATAATCAAAAGGAGAAAGAATTATTGAATGAACAAATTGAATTGCATAAAATTCAATTAGATGAGATAACTTCGAAATACGTAGCTGCTACCACCGTATTAGAATCTAAAGAAAGTATTGAACGTTCATTAGATCAGGCATTGATAAATGCTGCTACATTGAAACAGGAAAATGATGGATTGAAATTTCAATTGGATGATTTATCATCTAGATATTCAGCAGCTCAATCTCTCATTGAAAATAACCAAGCGCACGAGCGTACCATGAGTTCTAGAATATATGATTTAGAAAAATCATTGTCAAGACTCAGTGGTATAAACGTTAGTATGCTTAGTGAGTTTAATGAAACTACTTATCAAACTTTCGATGAGGTAACCATTAAATATCAATTAACAAAACAAAGACTCGAGGATAAGGAACAATTGGAGAAAGTATTACTAGAACAAATACAAAATTTGGAAGATAATGGGTGTAAAATGAAAAAGGAATTGGAACAGGCTAATCTTATTAATAAATCTTATGAGAAACAATTGAAGGATACGAAAAATATGTGCGACAAATTAGAATCTGAAATGATATCTATGAGAGAATCAAATTTGACGAATTATGTGCCTTCGGAAAATATTACGACTAATGATACTAGAAATATAAATGTCATAGATAAAAGTGATTCTATTGAAATGCTTCAGAAATTAACGATGTATGAGAATGAAATAAAAGAATTAAAACGTATCGTAGAACAAAAAAACATTGAAACTACAGATAATACGAAAAAATTAAATGAACTGGCAGAACAAATGAAACATTCGGAGGATGAGTGTAAACAATTAAAAAATGGTTTGGCAATAGCTTGGGCACAATGTGCAGAAGTTGAGGAAAAATTAAATCAGACATTGGCAATACATGACAGTACTATAGACATATCTTTACCATTATCAGAATTTTGTGCAGCTTTACCTAAACATTTTGGATATAATAAGACTACTAAAGATTTTACAAATGACACTCAAAATTCGTTTAACGAAACTGATAATTTAGATGTTATAAAGGAACAATATGATGAGAAAATAAAATCTATGCAAAATGAAGTGAAATATCTTACGCAAGAAAATGAGAATATGTTTAAGGAAATGGAACATTTGATAGAAAAGCAATCAAATTATGATGAGATATCAAACAAATTACATCAGTATTGTGTGTTATGTGATAAATTAGAATCGGAGAAGCAATCTTTATTGGATGAAAATAGAAAATTGAAAGCAGATTGGGAAGAAATAAATGTATTACATAAATCATTGGACGATTTGCAAGTAGAAAAGAATAAATTGCAAAAGGATATAGATAATTTGATTGAACAGCACAAACATGAGATAAGTGCGATTAAAGCAGATTGTTCGAAGGAATTAAAAGCAATGCAAACACTTCTACTTAATGTGAAAGAAGGAAATATCGGATTGAATGAATTGAAGAACGAATTAGAAATACGTCATGCTAAAGAGATGGAAGAATTAAGAACATATTTTGAACAGAAATGTTTGCAAATGGAAAAACAATATTCTGAGGAAGTATTTAGTCAGCAGTCGAAAAAAATGTCCGACAATGACAGTGAAATTGAAGAATTAACGGAAGATGTATATTTTGGAGGTGCAGGAGATTGTTTAAATGTTGGAAACGTATCTGGACATCACTCTAGAAGCGGTACACCTGTTACCACGACTAAAG